CTCATTGAAGAAGACAATTATATTTGTTGATTGCTACTTTTATCACATTATAATCCTCCCACAAACTAAGAGTTTTGTGTGTGTATTGGTGTAAGTGTGGACAGTGGATAATGCTCTGCTGTATCTGTTTTCATCTTGTGCATGCTCAGATCCTCTTCACTGTGATGAGAAGAACATCATTCTTCATCAACTATAGATGACACCCAAATGTTATGCACACTGAATGACACTGCACAACAATCCCCTCCTCCACTGACTTCACTGCTACCATGACCAAGATTCATGCTGAGACAAAAATGGCTCTAGACAAAGCCACATCAGCAATGAAAAACCAATATGACAAACATCATTGGCCATCATATAATTATGTTACCAGTGATAAAGTATGGCTCAACACTATGAACCTCTATCTCTCTTGTCCAAAACAAAAACTGGCTGATAAGCATACCAGCCTATTCCAAATCCTGATTAAGATTGAGGCCAGTGCTTATAAAATTAAGCTCCCAACTGCCTGGAAGGTCCACAATATCTTTAATGAGACATTATTAACCCCTTACATTGCACTGGCCTTCCTGAACCAGAAACACCCATCTCTCCTGCTCCTCAATCTTATTGATGACAAAGAGCACTATGAAGTTGATCAAGTTCTAAATCATAAGTTACACAAAATCCATGCAAAAGGGAGTGGTTCAACAATAACAGTTGACTACCTTATCAGCTGAAAAGAATATGGCCCAGAATCCAACCAATGGGTCAATGAAAAACAAATAAATGCTAACAATGCCATACATGACTATAAACTCTCTCTAAATTAAGCCATCAGGATGATGGTCTTAAGGAGAGGGTAATGTTATGATTTTTCTATTTCCTTTCATAATTAACTCCTATTTATGCTTAGTCAGAGCACTAAAACACAGGTGCTTAAGACCATGAGACAAGGCTTAGGTCATCACAAACAGCCAAGTCAGTCATTGTCTTTTGATGCAACAGTGTTGCTTGATGATGCACAACTATTCTTTTATATATGGTAATGATGCTCAAGGACAATAAGCACAAAGAACTCAGCAACACACAATTAGTAGTATTATATTTAGCACAGGACTTGTGTAGTATTTAAGAGGCTCACTCTTGCTGGAGCAACCCAGCTTCAAGCTAAAGTTTATTCCATCTCATTCTACTCTTGAGCTAGTCACACAAAGCCTTGAAGCATAGGGAGTCAATAATAGTATATAAAAGTGGACTCTAACAGAAGGCTCAAACATGAAGCCACATTAGTTTATCATGTGCTAGTTTATCATGTGCAGCTTGAGCCTAACAGTAAGTAGAGAGCAGAGTAATGTACAGAGGATTAGAATTAGCCTCTCAAGAGAGAGACATTCTACTTAAATACATTTTATATTACTTTGAGATCTTTCTATGAGATACTAAATAAGTCTGGATCACAATCTAAGTCAGCTGCCACTGACTGGTGTTGTATCTTCAAGTACATTCTCATACTCACTTGAAATTGCTATCCCAACACTCCCCCTCAATTCTGAGTTCCTAGAATACTTGCAGATAGATACCCATGTAATGGTCTTGGTAGGTCTTTAGTGAATATATCTGCTAAGTTCTCTTCTGATATGCAGTGCTGAACTTTGACTTCATTTGAAGCTATGCACTCATAAACAAAGTGGTGCCATATGTCTATATGCTTTGATCAAGCATGAAATATAGAGTTCTCAGCAAATTTGATTGCTGATTAGTTGTCAATGAAAATAGTTATTGCTTCATACAGTGGCAATCCTAATTTGATTAAGAGTGCTTGTAGCCAAATTACTTCCTGGATTGTGTGTGTGAGGGCCATATATTCTGCTTCCATAGTGGATAAGGCTACAGTGGGCTGTTTCTTTGAACTCTAAGTAACAGCTCCTCTTGTATAGATACAGACATAACCAGATGTTGATCTTCTATCTGTTCTGTCTTCTCTCCAGTCTGAGTCTGAATAAGGTATCAGCTCATCCATAGTCTCTCCATATGCGATTCTGAAGTCTAGAGTTCTCTTTAGATAGCAGAAAACTTGCTTCAAGGCTGTAACATGCTCAGCAGCCAGATTCTGCACATACTTGCTTAATTTGGTGACAGCATGTGCAATGTTGGGCTGGAATCCATTGGCCATATACATTAATGATCTGACACCAGTATGGTAATATTGCCTGGTGGCTGTGTCAATGCCTCATGGGTCTTCTGTCAGAATTTTCTCTAGCTATACATTCAGGTCCATAGGCATTTTAACTGGTTTGCAGTCATTCATGCTCATTCACTCAAGTACCTTGAGAATATATGCCTTCTGAGATAGAGTGATAATGCTCTTATCCCAATTCCTGTCTATCTTTATGCCTAATATATATTGAATCTCTCCTATGTCTGTGATATTTAGCTTCTTCTTAAGCTCTTCTTTCATTTTAGACATAGTTTCATCATCTAAAGCAAGCAATATCATGTTGTCAACATGTACAGCTACAATTATAGGATCAGAACTCATTTGTCTGATGTACACACATTGATCACTGATCAATCTGATGTATCCAAGTCCCAAAAATATAGCATTTAATTTGTCATTCCAAACTCAGCCAGATTGCTTGAGTCCATACAACATTAATTTGAGATGTGCCACTTTTTCACTCCCATCTGAATATTCAGGTGGCTGTGTCATATAAATGGATTCATTGAATTTACCATTTAAGTAAGCTCCAACAACATCCATTCCATGAATGATTAGGTTTCTTTGAGCAGCAATTGCCATGAGTAAGTGGAATGTGTCCAGCCTGACAACAGATGCATATGTCTCAAAGAAATCAATGCTGGATACCTGTGAAAATCCTTTTGCAACAAGTCTGGCCTTGTACCTAGTGATTTTTCCATCACCATCCCTTTTCAATCTGTAAGTCCACAAGCAATCCACAAGCAATCTGTCTTTGGATAATTCTTTCAGCTGCTATATGCCTAGGGAAGTCAATAGATTGTATTCTTCATTTATTGCTTTCTTCCAATAATGCCAGTCTGGCTTTGTCTTGGCTTCTTCAAGGCTTAATGGCTTATCACTGAGGTTGTCTGCAGTTTCTCCAATGCATGCATAGTCTATTGCAACATTTATGGCTTCCAATGATGATTCTTCTGAGGTATGCTGTTGTTCCAATGTTTTTACAGCTTATACACTTAGATTATGAAGTGTTCAGTAACTCAGTTGGGTCTTTGATGCAATCTGGGCCAATTTGTCATATAGCTTGATTATTTTCCCACACTATATTGAGAACTTTGATTTGATCAATGATACATCAGAGGCTGTTTCCTCTTTTGGTTTGGCATTTCCAGCATCCATGAAATCATCTAAAATGCCATCATTTCCATCTGGAGTCTGCTTGATTTTACTCTCTGACTCCTTCTTGAGCAATGAAGGGTGAGAGACTATATAGTCAGAAAAATATAATCTATTTTTGACTATATGTCTGGTAGTGCCAGAGTTCTCTAGCTATAATACTCCTGAGAGTGAGATAAGTGCAACATCTGTTGCATAAAATACATAGTCTTCTTCTTCTGAGTCTGATTTGGCAACATGTGTCTGAGTCTGACCCTTTCTCTTTTCTTTCCATGACTTTCTGGAATTCTTCTTTCCATTTGGGCAATTTATCCTGATGTGACCAGTTTTCCCACATCTGTAACATGTAACTTTTGAATTGAGCTTCTTGCCATGTGCTGCAAGTGTCATGGTCTGATCAGGAGTCTTTTCCTTTAATCAGATGTCTTCCTGAAGAATTCAGAAAATCAACTTGTAAGAATCTTTTAAATCAGCAGTATCCACTGATGAAATAAATGAATTCCATGATTCTGGGAGTGATGTAAGCAGTGTAATAGAGAAGTCCTCCTTCTCAACTTTCTGCTTAAAGAATGTCAGCTCCTCCTGATAAGACCTCAAAGTCCTAATATGCTCCTCTATGTTTCCTCCTTCTTCACACTGAGCTCTGAAGAATTTCCTTCTGACAAGGACAATTCCCATGGGTCCCCTGGACTCATACATATCTTTCAGAGCTTTTCAGGCTTCTGCTGAAGTCTTTGAACCAGCAATATATACCAGCAGGCCATCTGAAACCCACAATCTTATTGTTGAAAGAGCCTTCCTATTGCTCTTCTTCCAATCTGCCACCAGTGTTGTGTCTGCTGGGGTCAGAATGCTTTCATCTGCATAATCAATTAGTCCTAAATCAGTTAGGATATCAATCATCTTGATTTTCCTTGTTGGATAATTTTCTGGGCCCTTAAGGGGGTCAATTCTATACACAGACTGGCTATCCATGCAGTTCTATGTGTGTACATAAAGTATGAAAGAGTGTGAAGTGAGTAGCAATGTAAGTTCAGTTATGGCCAGGGCCCATAACCTGTTGTAAGTAGAGAGCAGAGTAATGTACAGAGGATTAGAATTAGCTTCTTGAGAGAGAGATGTTCTACTTAAATGCATTTTGTATTACTTCAAGATCTTTCTATAAGATACTAAATGAGTCCAGATCATGATCCAAGTCAGCTGCTGCTGACTGGCATTGTATCTTTGAGTATGTTCTTGTACTTGCTTGGGATTGCTATCCCAACATGGTGATACACACTATATGCTTCACCTGGCAAGGAATGAAACAGTATAGAATGACATTTCACTGTCAAAGAATTTCTGTTCAGTGTGATATGTATATGATCCTGTGGAGCCTGTGTTCTATTAATAAGTTTCATTGACATAAAAAGTTGAATCATATGGTTTTCTCCTACAACACAGCATAATATTTCAAAGATTGCCTGATTGCGATTTCCAGGTCTTTTATGCATACATAGATAGACAAGAAGAATTCGGTAATTTTCCTACTCTGTATAAAGCTGCTTATCACAGGGTCACTAATATCACGGTTTCAATTACATAACTGGAGATAACAATCTACAAGCGCATCTAACTCCGCTTCTTCAGCATCGAAGAGATTTCCATCAGGTGAGAATTTTGTTTCCATCTTGTAATCCTGATCGGTGAGGAGGACGAGCTAATTCCGGCGGTCCCTGATCTTGCCACAGCATTGGTCTATCTCGGTCACCTCACCGGACCCACAAACAATTAATACGACCGACTTGATGTCATTGAAACTTTCCTCACTCAATATTCTCTGGAGTTTGTGGAGAGTGCACCACAAGAGCAAAATCTGCACTTTCAAGAAAATGAGTGATTGATTTGTCCCTTCGCCGGCTATGGGTTTGTGCAACTTCAGATAGTCTGTGGAACGCCGAATAAGTGTAGATGGTGTTTGGATAGTGAAATTCTGCCTTACGATATTCTGGCGAAGAGGAGTGAAAAAAGGAGATTCTAATATCTTCTCTGCTTTTCCACAAGTATGATAGGTATTCTGAGAGGAAGTTGAATGCATCCTGTTCGTCACTTTCGTCAATGCCAATTGATATCTTTAGATTGCTGGACAGCCAAGGAACGTGGGACTCAGAACTCGACAAGCAGCGTATCAGCGCCCCCATGTGATAGTAGGACATCTTCGACATCGTCAGGTTTCATGTGGATTCTCTCGTCGAAGTGAAGTTAGAATGGGGCAGCGTTGGATAAAGTCGATCAAGAGAAAGGGATTGGCATCAGGAAAGTCCTGAACAAATACGGACTCAATGGTGTCTCCATGTTGATAGGTCTTTTGGATATTGTCGAATGAACTGATGATGACACACCTAATTCGTGGCCGGAAGAGATCTTCAAGAGAGTCTGAGTGAGAGTCCAACTCAGAAATTACAGTGTACGGTGAGTCTGGTGCGATGAGCAAGGTAAGTGGACTCCTCTTGATTAGGGAAGGTGGAGGAGAAAGAAAGGGGTGGTGGCGAGTGTGACTCAAAGGGTCTGCTCCTGTTGTTGCTTCAAAATACAATGGAGGCAATTCGAGAGGGAAGTCGGGCGAGACGACATGATGATCATGCGCTTGGGCATCCGAGACATGAGAAGGGGGATGGCGGTACCTGATTCATGTTCTGCAGAGTTGGGATACCTAGTATGTACGTGGCTGCGTCATTTTTTATACTTGGGGCATGAGAACAAGGAAGAGATTCCATGGTGCCACACCGTTATTTTCCTAGTCAAGGATGAAGCCTCGTGTTTGGTGGGTCCTTGGTTTATTTTAAGATGGAAACGTGAGAATCACAGGCTGGCGGGCTTGTGAGAAAGGCGGTGTTGAATAGACAATTAGAAGATTTGTCATTGATCACGAGTCCCAGAGAAACCAAATGGGTGGCTCGACAAACATAAGGATGGCAGATGTCAGGATGGCTAGAGACTCGAGGAAGAATGACCGACTAGAAACATGCAAGAATGATAACCATCAAGGGAGAGCAACAGCAGTGACGAGTCTTCAAGGGCATGGGGTTTCTGGTTTGGATCTCAGATCTGGAGTTTCATCACCTCCGGTGCAAGAAATGCTACTAGCACGATGTTTCACCTGCCAGTTTTGTTTCTTCATCGTTGTCCTCTCGGAGAGTTCAGGCCGGAGCAGAAGCTCGAGTCTGAGTCAGCATCAGAGGCACCACGGCAGTTGCTCAAGAAGGCGTACAGGCTATGAATACTATTAAGTCGTGCAACTTTTGTTCAGTCAGAGATGAATCTAGGAAAGGACTCCATATTGTGGTGCCATGGCGACTTCTGAGCTACAAGCCAGTTCATTGTGGCCGACTTTTGTCCGAAGAACTCAGAGAGATAGTCTACAGTATGGACTAAGTCTCAGTGATGAGGCTACCATCCTCGCTGTTACCTAGGCTCTGCATACTTTTCTGCTTATCACAGCTCATCCGTGAAAAGTGAGATCAGTTTCCCCCTTGACACGTTGCAGATGCTACTCCCATCATCGACAAAAATAATTGTTGAGTAATAACATCCGGATACGGCAATCGAACCCCAAGCTGCCGAGAACAAACTTCCAACTACTCGTTTTGAGAGGCAATGGTTGGTCGCTGCACCATGCCCGACCCTGCGCAAGTTTCGTAGACGCCTTATCAAAGTACCTACTGCAGGACTCAGTAAAATATTGCATTCCACCGGGATAGCATTCGGATATTGGGAACCGAACCCCGAGCTACCTCGTAAAGTCAGTCATTGCATATGAAAGAAAGTTCAGCGACTGCGTAGGAGCTAAAGCCTTGTTCTTGGCCTTGCTCCTGTTTCGCATCGATTAATGGGTCAAATAATGCTCCGTTAATGACCCAAGTAGTCTGCGGATAATCTTCCTTCTATCCTCGCATTGCCCCAAGGTTAACCGGGGCGCGTATGTCTGGTGCCCTTCGCCATCTGATTCCGAATTAACCATCATTTCATCATATTCCTTTTTGAGCTGTCATTTTTTTTGCCCTGGTGCTTCTATCCACTTTTCAAGTTCCTATCCGTCGCTTAGATTACTTTCCATATCAATCCTGAAACGTGCAATAGGACATTTGTTAAAAGCCGTGCGCTGGTCTCTTTCTTCTTTCTCCTCAGCAGTCCTATACTCCTCTTTTTTTCGTTTTTCAGGCTTCTACATTCAAGGTTATGGTAGCGCAGACGCGATGGAGTCCCCGTGATACCTGCTACGACGCTTCTGTGGATAGTGATGATGGCGGTGGTGTTCGTTCGGGCCAGCTAGACGTGCATGTCTTGCACATTCTCGAAACAATGTCCTCAGGTCAGTGTCATCCGTGTTGTGAAGTTTATCATGCTAACTTGGGTCAAATCGAAGCCTACATTATCAACTTGGTAGGAGGGGAAGCCTCCCGCGAACATTCCACCATCCTGGATCCAATTGAACACGAAATACAGCTGCTAGAGAAATTTGAGATGCAGCTATTGGGGAAGCTTCGGTTGTCAGAGTTGGATGTTGACTCGGTTGACCTTGTCTATGAAGCATTGCGCAGCAAAGATGCAGGCAGTGTGGCAATACTCTGTAAGCTTTACCACTTCCGCCTTCAATATAGTCGCGCGAAGCGAAGTCTTCCGGTCAAACTGGAACCGTCTCTCTCTCCCCCAGGTGTCAGTCATACCCTTACCTGTGCAGATTGGATCAGACACTGACTCGCAGTGTTCTAGCCCCCACACCGTGTCGACGCTTCTCGATTTTGGGCTCTCATCATTGGTATCGACAAGTATCCGACCTACCCGTTGCGTGGCTCCGTGCCAGACGCACAGCTAGTAGAGAAATACTTGACGGACGATCTCCGCATGAGTAAGGACAGAATACAGCTGCTTCTCGGATCTGAGGAGCATATGTCCCCTGACGATCCAAAAAGGCCTACCCGTGTTAATATCATTGGAGCGCTTTTAAGCATCATCACGAACCCCCAGATCGCGTATGGTGACAACATCATCATATATTACTCTGGACACGGCTCGTCCTACCTGGTGTCAGAGCCTGATGATAACGAGGGAGAAAATGGGACCGTACCCGTTGAAGCATTTTGCCCCATTGACCGTGACATGCTGGACGCCAACGATAATCCCATCCCCGACATCAGCGACCGTGAATTTAACACCATCTTAACCCTCATCGCTGAAAAAAAGGGGCACCATATCACGGTTATCCTCGACTGTTGTCACTCTGGTAGTGTCAGCCGAGATTTACCAGAGCCGGGAGCACGTACCGCTCCACCAATGATTCGCGCCACGCGTCAGGAAGTACTCCACGCCGGGGACGATCATCTGAAGGATCATCCTGGCTACCGTTCAATTTTAGCGGATGATTGGTGCCCAGATATGAACTCGCATGTTGTTCTGGCGGCCTGTAAGGAATATCAGTTTGCAAAGCCGAAGAAAGTCAAAATGGAAGATGGCACAGATGGACACATCGGGATTTTCACGGACTCATTTGTGCGGGCTCTCCGGTCTGGTTACTGGAAAAAGGAGACAACATACGCTGAACTCGTTCATTGCCTGGATAAAACGGACCGCCAGACGCCAGTCGTTACTGGAGAACGCAGGGGCGCACGCATCTGGTATCAGTAATAAACCGTTTCCTTTATATTCTGGTCGCAGGCGTCCGACCTTTCCCCATTTCGTTGTGTGTTATGCATTTTGGATGCTTTTGTTCTGTTCGTATTTATTTAGTATCCACATTACAAATATAACCATGTAACTCCCACACTGCCAACGCGTAGCTGAATCAGGGATTCGGTCTACCACATGACGATATAAGGGGGGTACCCACACTAACACCGACAAAGGCCGAAAACCTGTTGGAAAGGCAAGTTTAAATTGAAGGAACCATAGGCAGAGAACAGTGCGATTGACAAGCATTTTTCCTGCTGGCGTGACGCCTCCATATTATATCATCTACAAGAAATTTGTAAGAAAATCAAGATAAAAAACGTTCATCAGATGGTAACATTAACAGAGAGGTTGTCAGATGACCATCCATAGAAAGTATTCCCAGCGCACAGGCCGGAACAGCGATGTGATGTTGGCTAGGGCAAGTCACCATGAGTGCTAAGATCTTAATACTTGTCGAGCTCGACACTCGAAAGAAATTGAGACTTATTTTGATAAACAAAACGTTTCACCTTTTCTTCCTTGTTCTGACCGACAGTTAGATGCGCACCCTTCACAAACGGCTCTCCTTTCACAAACGGCTCTCCTTCCTTTCGGCTTGTCCAGATCCGCAATTTTCGTACCTACAAGAGGTAATACGACCCCAAGGCGTCGAGCATACAGGCAGGAGTCGCTGGATAACATGAAGAGACGAACGGTGACCGTCGGAGTAGGAAAAAGGATTCGAACGGATTCCGGTCCGATCGCGGAACATCAAAGAAATTTGTTTGTGTTATACTTGAAAGCTATCGTCTTGTCCTTTCGATTACTTACCACGTTCAAGGACACCATTCTAGTACTGTAATGCGCTTGCATGAGGATGAACTACAGCTGATCTGATCAATGCAACCGTTGAGGCTTCCTTCCCCGCCGAGGTGATATTCACCGCCAACGGCTCGGTGAAGGCTGGTCAAAACGGCGTCTTTCTTCCTTGGTGCGAGATGAGACGGACCATACGGACGATGGCATGTTTCTAATCCAGAGGGAGTTGAATGTTGAATGTTCAACATTGAACGAGAGCAGGTGAGCCGCGTATATGTCTCCTCCATTCATGCGCCGCAGAAATTTCGTCGTCGTCGTCTTCTTCAATCGATACAAACCGCGTACACGCTCACGAATACAAAACCGTCATGGAGGGTCTCGTGAATGTGTTTGTCTTATCTTTCTAATTTCTATACTTATCGGTCTCCGTTCAGATACCACGTACGAACTGTTTAGCATGTCTTCTCTCTTCTACCGCTGACTGGCTTGCCATCAATGTCCTGCAGACCGAGATCAGTGCGTTCGCGTCGTCTTTCCCTTAGCTACTACTGACATTACATAACCTAGCGACACAGGCCGAAAGTATTGGTATAGGGATCACCCAGGAGTTCCCGGCAAGCAAAAGAATATTCTCCCCGAGTCACTGCGGCGTATTTTTGCGAACAAACAAATTGTCTGCGTGGAGTATTCAGACTTGACTGACGACGGCGAACGTGACATCTTCCAGCGTGTTCAGCTAGGTGTGGCACTGACTCCTGCAGGTACGCCCTGAAGACATTCACGCCTCTAACCACTCACTTTCTCCCCCCCTACTTCCCTTCTTTTTGTCAGTTTAATGTTTCTGTGAGTAATTTATTTTTTTGCACTTAGCGTCATTCCTGCAGTGATTTCTGTTACTCAACCAATTACGCCCCTTGGATGGACCGTGCTGTGTAATGCTACATACCTAAGGTATGCCTCAAGCGGAACCAATGAGATCACGTGACCAATGTGTTACGCATCGTCATGTTTTCACAAAAAAAACCTATCTACTTCTGCATATGGAAGTAAATGCCAAATCTGGCTCCGAGGGACTGTAGATAATGTTATTTTGCATAAATGCTCAGGCTTTGATATCCCGATTTTAAAGCTCAGCAAGATTAGATAGCAAATTTGTGATTTGATGGCAGTGGACAAATTAAGATACAACCGTGACATGACATATTCATGCGTCATATTCAGCTGGAACATGTTGTGTGGGCATGCCTCCTATTCCTAGGAAGCTGCATAACCTAGTACAATATCCTGATGCTTATCAGAAGAAATTAAGTGGGAATCAGGCTGCTTGGGCAGCAAAGAAGTATAAGGGTCACTGGACCATTCCAGAATGTATTTTTGAAGTACTGGATAAAGCAGGGATTGTATAGATACTATAGAATAGATTCTACACAACAACAATAGAAATGAAGTGGATACACCGAGTCGGGCTAATGAGTCGCAGACAGTCACAGATCAGTCACATCACGTGATATCCTTGGTTCCGCTTGAAGCATACCTTACCTACCTACGGATTTGTCAAATGTGCATTTATCAGCGAAGCCACGGCAAACAAGTACGTCACCGCTTTCGCGCCCATGTGTAATGCAGACCGCGACGACCACTCGAAGGTTTGACCATCCAGTTGCAGAATCCTTATACTTCCTTTATCCATGCCATCAAACGAAGAAAGTCTACGCAGCAAACACGACCTGACAAAGAGAAGGAGAAAACAGAAGGCCTGCGATAACTGCCGCCATAGAAAAGGTACATCGTGACCGACAAACTCTCCATAGGCCCCCCAACTTACCCTATGCTCAGTAAAATGTAGGATCCTTCACTGCTTCGCACCACACGCTAATTTTTTGGGACCAGGTGACGGGATGGTTATGCCTGGGAAGCGATGCTCAAACTGCATTACGTTCGAGCTGGACTGCGCGTATATCGACGGAACCCAGGTCAGCCATTACCGTCTCGCTAGATTGTGACCACTGACGTAGCTTCAAGTAGAAAGAATATTCTGAGACGTTTGTAAACGCATTTGTCGTGTCATTTCGGGGGCTGAACGCTGGTACTGAGCAGATATGTCGAGGACTTGGAGAGGAAGGTCCAGGAAAGGGAGAAAATTTTACTTCAGGTAAGATCCTTTACTCGATCGGTTGCTGCTGATCCTCCTATCATCGCGGCGCAGATGATTCCAGACGGCGGGTTCAATTCATCACGCTTTACCAGTGGGGCCGGACCTAAGCACCTCAGAGCCTCCGATCCCGACAAGGATATCACCGCTGAGATCAACAGCATGTATCTCCAAGACCCAGACGAGCAAAAAGCTGAATGGTACAAGGATATTAAACTCGGGTGCCGCTTTTTCGGAAAATCCAGCAGTGCACAGTTTATCGAGGCGGCGATGAAGCTCAAACAAGAGTACTCTGGCAATACACGTGCGGCCCCGCCCTTCTTGTCCTGGAAAAGACCAGAGTTTTGGGATTCGAAACCACCGGATCAGAGCATTCACGCCGAGGTATGTCACGATAGCATGTACGTCTTTCCAGAGGACGACTTGTTTCGATCCCTGGTCGATTTGTACTTTGCGCGGGTCAATATTCTCGTCCCACTTTTGCACAGACCGACTTTCGATGCCTTGATTGCAGACAAGGTGCATTTGGAAGATCAGGAATTCGCCCAAGTGGTGATGCTCGTGTGTGCGGTGGCATCGAGGTACTCGGACGATCCACGCGTTCTGTTCGACGGGCAGCCGCAACTGCGTTCTTGGCAATCGAGTGGCTGGAAATGGGTTCATCAGGTGGTGCGAACCTTCAGGTTCCCAATGACGTCGTCGACACTGTATGGCTTGCAGTTCATCTGTGTTAGCCATTTGCTGGATCTATTACATTACAAAGTGGCTAATAAAAACCTCTACTAGCTGTTTTCGCAGTTCATGCTTGGCTCTTCAGCCGCTTCTGTCGGTTGGACGTTGGCAGGCATAGGGCTTCGACTAGCTCAAGAAGCCGGCATCCATCAAAGACAGGCGACCGGCTCAACCCCAAACACAGTGGAAGGTGAACTGTGGAAACGTGCATTCTGGTGGGTAGATGCCAAATTTGGATGTACAGCTGCTCGAAATATTCCTTTAGGTGTCTTATGTTTATCGACCGAGTCGTTAGTTCTCATCTAGGTCGACCATGCGCCCTTTACGACGAAGAGTACTTGCATATTTTTTTTTTCGTTTCGTGCTGATGCTTATCTGAAGAATCAGGACTGATGTTGAACTTCCAGTGGAATGCGACGATCAGTATTGGATACCTGCCAATCCAGAACAAGAGGCATTCAAACAACCTGCAGGCCAACCGTCTGATATCTCATATTTCAACTCCTGTTTACGCCTCAGCCGTCTGCTACTAACTTGCCTGCGGACCCTCGTGCGTATCCGATTGTCCCTCTTCTTTTTTTTTTGCTCACATATGCCGACGTGCGGTAACTGACAGTATTTGATGAAAAAATCTAAGATGTGTTTCGGTTTACTTGACCAGGATTGGGATCGGCGGGTTGCCGCGGAGCTTGACTCGTCGCTCGATAGTTGGTTTGATTCCGTACCTAAGCATCGTAAGGCTCCATCCAGTTGTTTTCGCCCTTTCTTATATTTATTATGCGCATAATTATCAGTCAGATGGGATCCAAACCAAGAAAATTCTATTCGCTTCAATCAGTCTGCTTCCCTGTATATCCTATACTTTCAGCTGAGAATCTTGATACACCGGCCTTTCATTATTTCTTCCTCCAATAGCTGGGCTCCAATTCATATGTGTTCACTAGTCATTTGTCTCAACGCCGCCCGCTCATGCTCCTCCGTCATCGATGCCCAGCGTATTCGAGGGCACATCTATCCAATATCCGGCGTAAGAAGCCAGTTCTTTCTACTTGCTCTCTCAAACTAGCTACTGGACAGTTTATAGCCTTCAATGCCGGAGTTGTTCTATTGTTCAACATCTGGTACCAGAGACACTTTGATCATTCTTTCGATGCCTCTCATGATATTGACAATGTACACAAATGCATGGAGGCGCTCGAGCACCTCAATACCTGGTGTGTGCCTCTGGCTCTTATCTTGACATCATCGGAATTAACTAACGTTCATTCACTGGTAGATGGTATTTTGGCGGCATTCTGCGGTATTACCACCGTTGTTCTTCTTTCGTACGGCATATAACTGATGGTGTCGCAACTGATTAGGAATATCCTCCATGACCTCGCGTCTGTGGGGGACCTCCCAGTGCCTGATTCTACACTGACGTCTTCTGGCATGTGGAATGGAGGTTTCGATGACCGCGGTTTCGGGCTATTTACTGATACTTCCAGTATCAGCTCAAACGTCAGCGGTTCAAGTGATGCTTCTTTGTTTACGACTTGGAATACAGAATGCCAGCCTCCGCACCCACAGGCGCCTCTGGATGTCCTACTTGGTAGCGGGGTCATCAGCTGGTTGGACCCTAGACGGGGGGATAGCGCGCCTTCCATGGAGTACGTTTGTTCCCGAATGTCTTGCTGTTCTTGTTGACGGACGTTAGACTGGGTGACTGGAGCATGTACCTCTCCAATCTTCACAACCCCTCAACTTGGTCGTCGTAATAATCAAGGACTACTAACTTCGTATGTGTATTATATATAGCTACGAATATACAGAGTAACAACGCGCTTACCATCCAAGGTATACGCTAAGGGTGGTGGTCTACCTACTTGGTATCAGGTATACAAACCTTCCAGTGTAGATACAATACCATTAATTCGAGAACAGCATACGCCAAAGCTTTATATGAGTGGGGGCATTAGCACGCTCCGCACGGTACGCCCTCATCTCTTGCACCGTAAGCCATGATTTGCGTCCAGACTGTGAATGCTACGTTCAGAACACGGTTATCCGGTCACCGGAAACAAACGACGTACGTCAAGGTCGATGTCACTGGCCCGCTTGGGAAGCTTGCGTTTCCACAAGAAACCGATAATGTAGAACAGAAGCAAGACAGGAAAAGCCAGATACGCCTCTAACATGAGAGGGTGTGTGTGTGAGGAAAAAGTGCCACCAACGATGTGAGCAAGAGAGCGTACGGAAGAACGCCTGGCCAGCGGCTGCGCCATGAAGGTCCTCTCCGACGGGGAAAAGAGCCTGGGAGAGCTATATGAGTTCACTGATGATTAACTGACGGCCGTCACGACTCACGACATAGAATTGCGCTATTAGGACCAAGACGATCAAAACGACACCGAGCCAAGACCCATATATACCACCCATGGCTTGATAAGGTAGCTCCTCGATGGAGTGTCCCTGAATTGTCCAGGCGTGCCTAAACCGTATGCTACAGATGTACGCTAGCTTAGGTCCATACTCTCGGTTCGGTATGAAAATGGATGACATACTGGCAGAGACACACGGAGAGCCACGTAAAGAGCGTTGAGAGTCCCGAAATGGCCTGCAGCCAATCAACTGCCGAGTATATTATTATTATTAGTAAACAGTAATTAAAAGAAGGCAGGCAGGATATAGCCCAATACCCACAGACAGTATCGCCGGCCGCCACGACGTTGACATATGCGATGGCAGCGAAGACAAGAACACCCAACACGGAGACCAGAGGTCGACTCGATTTATCCACTATGCGTGAAAATCAGGGTTCCATCCAATACGTCTGCTGAAGGCAAGCGGAGCCATACCGTATGCGAAAATCCGCGGGGCGTATCCATTTTCAGCCAAGGCCGTTAGAGTACGAGATGCACCGTATACACTTGATAGACCGATAGAGAGCACGGAAACACAGATTGTGGCATTAACGAGATCTAAGAGCGTCAATGATGGTCCATGACAAACAACGAGATGTCAACATTAACTCACGATTAAGCCCATTGATATTAGCCAGGTCCAGAGCAATGACGAAAGGTGAAGCTGACGCGCCGCTACCACCAAGAAGTCGATCGTCATTCCAAGGAACCATTAAGCCAATGATTGTCAGGGAAGTTATATAGATGACGGTCTACAGAACGTCGTGAGTACAGCGCAAGTGAGGTTATGAAGAACGTACGACACGCCAAAACGTTCCCTTGACGGCACCTGAAAATACGCCTCAATTTCTCTCTCTATAAATGGACACATCAGAGGAATACCAGGCATAGTTCCTCTCGGATCGGCAGTCTCCGAAGCAGCGAGACCAACGAGCTCGGTTCCAGCTATCCGACACGTCAAGGACTTGGATAGAGAGAAGCACCATAGACATACAGAATGAGAAGGCGGCTGTAGGAAGGGAAACCGGTTAGCATGTACCAGAGCTCGGATCTTCAAATCAATGCACCAGTCACGAAAACAGCACATACGCCTTTGAAACCGTTCGCGAATGCTCCTGGGTCATGCCAATACTTGCCACCCACATAAGAACCGAACTCTCCGCTCTTCGGTCCGCCGCCAGAAACGCAGATTCTGCATGATCACGGTTAGCAAAAGGCCACTTGTTGACGGAAAGAGAAGTAAACACTAACATTCCAAGGAATATGAACATGACCACCACCAAAAGCTTCAAACACGACGACCAGAATTCCTCTTCTGCATAGCCAAGTGTTCCGAAGATAGAAATGAAGACTGATGGTCGTCAGCATCACAGGAGAAGCGGCGTATAAAACCCAGACACACTGATGACAGCCCAAAATATTGTAATCCAAACAGCGATGGGGACTTTATCGGTCCAGTATTGTACCGTGGTCCCGGCGACGGTAATTTCGAGAGGCAGAGCGGCGAACCATTGGAAGCAATAGTTCCAACCCATGGCAAACGCAAATGAAGGATCAAGAAATCGATCGGCAAGGGTATAAAAACCGCCCGAGACAGGATACATGATGGCCATTTCACCGAGGGCCTATTACGATGTCACTGATATACAACTAAGTAGCAGAAAAGGAAGGGAACCTACCTGGGTGACATTGATCAACAGGATACCGATGATGATGTATGAGATGATAACACCAGCGGGACCACCATTGTGTAGAGCCGCGCCAGAGCCGACGAAAAGACCCGTGCCAATGCTTCCGCCAACAGCGATCATATTCAAATGACGCTTTTTCATTTTGGGCTGCAGCATCGGCGCATCGGCTTGGATATCCTCGATTTCGTTGACATTGTGCCCTCCGGCGACAACCTGGCCACTAGAGGAAGAAGAGTTAAAATTAAGAAAAAGAGGTCGTATATTGGCACACGACCAGCCAGGGACTCACCCAGTCACACCTGGCGCACGCTTAAAACTCTCCAAACTGAGACCCAGTCGAGTCCAGGTACTCTCCTGGCTGGGATCATAGAAAGCCGGGACGGCTTTGGCGCTCGTCTCGTTTGATTTTTCTTTGGAGGGGTCCATCACGATTTCGTGAAAGAGAGGAAGAAGATGAAAAGAAGTATGCCTCGCAGGCCTCCCGTTTATATCCCGTGCGACGAGTAGTCCTGGACCAAGAACTGGACCGGGAGGCCGCCGCGTGCTCGCATGGAAAAATCCTAAAACTTTCGTATACCGCGAAATTTGAAATGCCAACAGGAAATAGGTTTTTAAGTCGTTTGTTTCACGGATCGATCCTGGAGAGGGCCCGCCTCGTCACCGACGAGATTTCCAGGATGCCTTACAATTCGCATGATAGATGCCTGAGATAGTGTTGAGTGGATGAAGAGAGGAACAGTGAGAACGAAATTTTGTCGTGCCGGTCTGCTTCCGCGGGCTTTGATCCCATCCCGTGGGTTTATTCTTGGTACAGTGCCCCATGCGCTATTGGAGCTTCTGCTGCGTGAGCGTTGGCCATGGGGAGGGGTGAAAGATGAGAACATCAGGTCTCGTGAGCAACAACACTGGCCAGCTGAAGCTTGTGGCGTAGGCCACGCGCCTGTTCGGGATCCGCCGTTGCGATGTTTCATAGCCAAATGACAATGAAATTTCAACGGCTCACGAACGAATTGCTGCAAATTTCTTTACTTGAGCATTGCAAATGCCGCATTCGCTGGTCCATGGTCCCGGTCCGCTTCACCGAGTGGTCACCCGATTCGCGATGTCACCCGGCTCGTGAATGTGCACTCGTAACACGTTACTAACTCCCTAGCTTAGTTTGTAGTTCAAAGGGCCCCGTGACAAAGACGGTGAGGATCGAGGTCGCCAGTAACGATAAATGGCTATCTCCTTCATGCATCATAAACTAAAACGACCTTCTTCAGGTATTAGGAGTGCACATACCGGCTGCGATTCTGAATGTTACAGATGTACAGATTCTCATACTTGTAGAAAGCCCATCGTCTACGGCTTTGCGTCGTTCCAGTGAGTCTCGGGGAGGTGGTGGTCGACGACATGATGGAAGTAGGAGACAGAGTCCTTATCTTTGACAGCAGATTCGGACCCACGAAGGTGCCTGCCTAAATGATATCAGTCTATGAAGCTTACTCTAAATTTGGATTACCGCAGTATCCAAATAAGAGATAAAGGCTTGAACTCCTCAGCCCTGTCAAACACACAGAAGGTAAAGCAGGGTGAACCCCCAACAGGAGCTTCCGTTAAATGAGACTTGGGGCTTGACGAGACGACGTCTAGAGCCTCCGATGGTAGGTGGAGGTGCGAAAATGATACGGCAGTTTCGAGCTACAGCATAATTAGATTTCGACGCAAAGGGCAAAGCCAGGCGCTTACTTCTTTCAGGGTTTTGAATCTCGCATCTTCTCTCCTTCGATGGACAGGAAACCGAGACATCCTCTCTGCTGGACAGATTGACAATGCTGAATCCTTCATGAAATTCTTGTGTAGGGTGGCCCACGGTGCTTGAGCTAGATTTGCACCCTGAAAAGAGGGCGTCGCCGGTATTGTTATTCGTCGCCGCGAGCCAGTCGCACCTCAGGACCTATTGCGTTACCTTTCCGACCGTGCAGGTTGCAGGCGATTTGACTTCAGATTGGGAAGGTGCATTCGCTAGAGTGATGTCCTCCCCTTCGACCTTCAACATTATAAAGAAAAAAAAGCCATGATACCCAAGAGCAGACTCACACACCGGTACATCGATTTTGCCTCTCTGCGCTGGGCTCGTCGTCTCATAAGTCCGCCACCGCCTGGCTCCCGAAATGGGTCCTTTTCCTGTGTGCACACCTTCTTCTGCCATTGTGAAGCTAAGTTCGGCTTTCAAAAGTCCATAGCGCACCCGTGGATCCAACGTTTCGAGCTTTTCTGTGTGTCCTCAAGTCCTGTTGGGTCATGCAGATTCTGATGGAAAACCGACGGCCTCCTACAACCGTCACATGGAACTAGTGGTATGCTTCCTACTAAGCACAAGAAACGCCTCGTTGAAGTTGCTCACCTTCTGCGCACTCAGCAACCATCTGACCCTCAGTACTATCCGTATTACAGAGGTAACTGTGGCCTCCTGCACCACTCCCCTTCATAGCCATCTATACCGTTACTCCAGCTTAGGGCTGCTTATCTAACGACCAAAGTCCCCGATGTGGTGGAAACACTCAACACTGTCGGGACAGACAGACAGATTTGTGTACTAGGAAATATATCCCGTGGCCGTGGACGTTTAGAGTTAGGGTTGGTCTCATCCCGGAAGGACGATATAGCCGTACCAACTTCATCTTGTCCTACTCTTGCGAAGTGTGCTGGGTCGTAACTTCCCACACAGAGTCTTCCAATGAGCGACGTTCTTGGTCCTTCTCACAATTTGAAACAGCAGATCGCGTATCTTTTTACCCTCTCGCCACTGCTAGTCACTTCCAAGTTTTTACTAGCTGCACATGCAGGATGGGCCCTTTTTATGGTGGAGTATAAATTACGGTCCGAAAAAGTCACGTCACCTCGCTGGTATCTTCCCTTCCTGAAATCGATCACAAAAATTTCAAGGACCAATGGTGTATAATTATTTTATATCAACGTTACGCGACCTCAACCAAGAACAAACTAAACTCCAACTTTGATGGGAGTACAGTCGAGGGCAACGAGACCATTCTGAAAATTCAGAGGGTGACAATACCTATCCAAGTAGTTCTCACGCTCGCAGCAAACGGACTGGTTGGCAACACTTTATAGGTCCACAAACATGAGAATTACGATGCTAAGAGATGGAGGCCTCTTACTGTTCGTCGCATCATTCGAACTCACCGTGACCTTTCTTCGGATGTTCGACCCGGATACCCCAAGTTTCTCGTGGCTTAGTCATCGCCCTCGGACTCGCTCTTGGACTTCCAACGTTAGAAGTTCAAGAACGAGTTGACAAGGAAGGACGGAACTGGTAGTGAAAAGAAGGAGACGCCGCCGGCTTCTGATCCTCGAATTGGTTGTGTGTCCCAAAGGTTTTGTGCCACAATTTTAGTCTCTTAACTTTGTCTTCAGGAACGCCAACGGGAGAGGTACAGCCTTCAATACCCAACGTTCTAGAGCCAGTCCTTCATGCCTTCGACCAGCTCCAACCCCCCCAAATTATCAGCCAAGCGACTGGCGGGTCACCTGGATGTTCGCTTGATCACCAGGACACGAAGCTCGGTCCGCTTGGTCCATACCTTCTTCGACATAGAAGTATCTGGCCGATAAAATATCATCCCCATGTCCTAAAGTACCACTCCATCCTCTCAAGTTTAAGATTCCCTCACCCGGGCCACCACCACCATGTTTACCATCGCCCTCGCGGTATGCCTTATATACGGAGCAGTCGCCCGTACCCAATCCACCACCCTCGAGTCCTTCACAACCAAACCGCGCGTCTTCGTTCTCACCGACATCGCCAACGAGCCTGACGACACAATGTCCCTGACCCGTCTCCTCCTCTACGCCAACCACTTTTCCATCCAAGGCCTCGCAGCGGTCACTTCCACCTGGCTCCGGAACGACACCTTCGCGTGGCAGATCCAAGACAAAGTATGGGAGTGGGGCGACGTTCGAGACAACCTGACGAAACACGCGGAGGGCTGGCCGGAAACGGACGAGCTGTTGGGGAAGGTGTATTCGGGGCTGCCGGTGTATGGGTTGGAAGGCGTTGGAGAGGGGAAGGATTCGAATGCTAGTGTGGCACTCGTTGCGGCGGTTGATAACGCCAGCGCCGGGGACCCGTTGTGGGTTACTATCTGGGCCGGTGCAGCGGTGCTTGCACAAGCGCTATGGACGGTTCGATCTATTACAAGTTCCCCCCCACATTTCTTGGCCCCCTTAACCGATAACTACAGGTTCGGGAAACGAGGCCACAACTAGCCGTGGCGAGCTTCGTAGCCAATCTACGAGTCTACGCCATCTCAGACCAAGACGATGGTGCATTTAATACAATTTCTGGTGGATGTTGTTCATGATACTTATTTTTCTCTGGTATAGCCGGTCCTTGGATACGTTCCCATTTCCCGGACATCTTCTACATTGCAAGTATTCATGGCTTCAATCAGTAAGTTCTTCCCTGAATATAACAATCCCGAGCACTGAACATTTCTCTAGGTACCGTTTGGCTACCTGGTGCGGCATTTCTGGCGAGTTGTTTTACGATTTCGACGTGGTAAACTTATTATTCAATCATGTCTTTCAAACTTTGTCTTATCATCATCATGCCAGGGTGGCCCAGATTCTAGTTTAGTCACCAACGATTGGCTCCAATCCAACATCAGGTCGTCCGGAAACGCATTCTCAGCCAACTACCCCAAATTCGCATACATCATGGAAGGAGACACACCATCCTTCCTCTACCTGATTCAAAACGGTCTGTCTGCGCGTGATCATCCAAACTGGGGCGGGTGAGTAACACTCGCAATCTCCGACTCATCTCATCCCGACCCACTTTCTCAGTTGGGGCGGACGATACGGGCAGCCCACAAACGAGAGCAACCAATGGGCCGACTCCATCGCCTGGAAAGTCCCTGGGGTCGACGGCCGCAACTACACCTCCAACCAAGCAACCATCTGGCAGTGGCGCAAAGCCTACCAATACGACTTTGCCGGACGCATGAACTGGACCGCGACTGCCGATTTTGGAGATGTCAACCATAACCCGAGACTGTACGTCAACGGGACTGGGGGGCCGGAGTATCTGTACGTCGAGGTGGACCCGGGGACGAGCGTCGTCCTGGACGCGCGGGGAAGCTTCGATCCTGACGACGGTGATCGGGTGGTGTATACGTGGTCACAGTATTTTGGTGCGAGTTTACCTGGTTCGGGCGACGATCAGGTTCCGGCGCTGGGGATCGAGGAGCAAGAGGAGGGTATGCTCGCGACGGTGGCAGTCCCCAGTGAGGATGCGGTGCAGAATAATGGGCAATGGTCGACGTGGCGCCTGACAGAAGGGGGGTTGGTGCATGTGTTGTTGGAAGCCTGGGATAACGGTTCACCTCCCCTCGTGAGCTACAAACGGGTAGTCTTGAAGTTGAGGGGGTTTGACTAGGCTTTCTTTGGTACCTTCGGACCTCTGCCACAGAATGAAGACATTATACATGCACGCCAGGTCGCGGTTATTAAAAGGACGAGAACAGTCACTACAGTGATGCTGTAAAGCCGTAGATAGATGACCTTCAATGGCGAGGTTGACCTAGTCACATCACATAAGAGGCGCTTAATCGCCTCACTTCGAAGACCGCTAGGTCGAAAGTCTGCCACAAGGACCGCAATGTGCCCAGATCTGTCCTCAGGAATCAAGATGATAAGGCACACATCATAGATTAACTATTATAGATCACAAAGATATCACCGCATCCTATACTTCTGATATCCATAATATTTGCTCCCTCTCCTCACTCCATGGTAATCTAACGTATAGGTTAGTCGCCAAGCAAGTCAAGGAGGCAGCTATAACGACTTACAGGACGAAGTATCCCTCTGCGTACTAACCCCCGCTACCGCCGCCAAGTTGACATACCCCTCGTCTCCGATAGCCTTACCCTTACCCTTTCCCGCATCCCGCAGAACCCACTCCGCCCGACACCAGACACACGTAACCTTCTTCCCTGACTTCTGAGCGGTCGTTCACCCTTTGAAGGGTATGAGCACAAGGAACAAAGGATAGGAGAGATAGTACACAGCTTACATTGAGCAAAACAAACCCCATGCAGCGCATTTCCGCAAACCTCGCACCACGTAAGCTTGTTTTCCGGCTCGGTGTGCATCTTATCGTATCAGATCGGACGGTCATTATCCTCTGTTGGCATGCGCTTATTGCTGGCGTTATTGGAGTCAGAGGTAGGCGTTATCCCAAGAGCTCGTAAATAAGGTTGGCGAAGTTGTTCACGATGGCGTTTGGCGCGCGTGCGAAAACATCTTGGAGTTCGGTCGTCAGAAGGGCGCTGGGCAAGGAAGATCAGCGGGCACAGCATAGAATGAGTGACAGGCGCGTAGTACTTTTAGTACCAGTATGGCGATTCATAGGTCACCTGGAGGACTAGGACGATGCCAGTCGATGGGAAGAGAAGGGTATGTACCTTTTATAAATATGAAGATCTAAGACTAACGTTCAGAACAAAAGCCGAAAAATAACAAGCGAGCACGTAAGATATGCTTGCAATGGTTGCCCTTCGAAGCACTGGGGCTTGAGAAAATCGTAAATTTTGATTAGGCGAATCGACAACACATACAGTCACAACGGGGTCCGGTCGATGACAACAGTATAAACCTAATCTTCATTAGCGAAGTGACCAATGAAACACCATGCAGACCGCGTACATTCCCTGTAGAGCATCACCATTGCGCTCCCTCAGTCATAAAGAACCTGACCCGAAATGAGCAACGATCCAGGCTGAAAGACAATGCTCCCACCTTTTCTTGATAACCATAAGCAGTCTCCCAAGAATGTTTTGAGGACATTTCTTTTTCAAGATGGCGCCGAGCTTCTCGCGCTTGGATTTTGGTTGACGAGGAGACTTTGGCTTTGCTGGAGCCTTCGGAGGTGCCTCGGCTTGAGACGTCGATGGTGTAGGAATGGAATAGCCGTGGGTTGGATCGAAGAACCTCGGGTCGACTGTGGAAGGACCATCCGGATTTGTGTCGCGAGCTGCAGCGGAGCTGACGGTGGTAACTGGATTGATTACTTGCAAGCGCGGGCACAGATATATCGACCGTGGTCCTCAGATTTGAATGGACGAGCAGAACCGGGCGAACTGGTTACAGTCGGGTTCGTTACAGGGGTGTAAACTCGCCAGTCTTCATAGTCGCCATTAGCATTGCGCTCGAGTAAATGCAAAGATAAATTTTCTGCGACAAATTTCTTGAACAAGAAAACAACTCGAGAAAAAGAATCGCTATCATGATCAGTCCGTTTTTTTGTGAATTAAAGAGAGATTTCAGAAACTTATAGAGCCGGTATCGAAATGAGGCGAGATGCGGAAGATTTGAAGCTGGAATTAAATTCTTCCTTGACTTTTTGCCCTCCCAACTTTTTTGGAAATGACAGATAATCGTGTCGTCGGTAGACGCGTAGTGGTGGGAGGAAGGGGTCTTGGTCATGACGTAATATTTCCCCACGCTGAGGTATCACCCTATCCTCTTAGGTCCGACGCCGGTTCGGAGGGAATAGCGACGAGAGAATTCTAAGTGTATTGATGTCCCTACGTCTTTTATGCTAATGTACAGAATATTTCGGAGCCGTAATAAAGTACAGGTGATTGGAGGATGAGGGAAATGAATAGAGTGAATCATAGGCACAGTATTCTGAGTCAAGGTAAAGTCATATAAGTACAGTACAAAGTAAGGACAAGTCATAATGAAAATAGGGAGTAGACGGAGGCAGATAAGGATGAGCCGGGAGGTTGGGCAGGGTGCGTAGGCTTTAGAAGGAAACACAAACAAACTAGGGCACTTCGTAGGGAGATACAACGACGCGGTACGGCCATGTGGTGGCTGTGTCGCCTCACCTCGAAGGGTCGTCGATCGTTCATGCCTTTGCCTTTCGACTCTGACCAAGAGTCCGTTGTGACGCCAGCGCTCGTTTATTGCTCTTAAAAGTGTATATAATTTAATTTAGGTCTTTTTTAAGTTATCTCAGGTACGGTATCTTCACTTTCAACACCTGAGCCACACTGATTAAGTGTGGTATCTACTATAGTTCCTTAGGGCCTTCCGACTCTCATGGTACCGTCTCGCCCAAAGCAAACGTGATTTTTTCTGTTATTACTGTTTTCCTTTGTGTCTGACCTCTAAAGGGCCCGAAAATCAACGGGCGTTCGAGCCGCTCGAGCAAAGAAGTTAAATGTCGATCGCACTAACGACGACACTGAAAAATTGTACAACTTTCCGAACAGTTCCTAGATGTCTCTAATTAACATTTGACCCAGCTCTGGCTCTTATGCCTCCTCAATGTCACGACTGTCAGCAGAGTTCGCCTTCGTTTTACAGTGGCCGTACTGATTTACTTGCGGCGTTAAGAGCTCCCATATATGAATCACCCGTACATACGTCCACCACAATTACGCCTAAACTCGAAGGCGAAAATCCATTAGTCGCGGCGTTGAACACGCTCGAGAATCCTCCGTACCACTCTAACTTGTCTATCAGATGAGTGGCGCACACTTACCAACCTCCTACTGTAGTGGACTGGCCTTCTATCATCATTCTCCTAAGATAGAATATCAAGACAGGTTTGCAAGAACTCCCGTGCCTTCAATCTCATGGCGTAACAGTCAAACGTGCGTGTACTTGACACTACTTTTCACCTTGTAATCAATTTTTATATTTTTCTCCGACGCTACACAGGGCAAGGAAGTCTACGGGCGGTCGAAAACCTTCACGACCCAAAGCGCAAAGTGGCTCCTTCTTTTCTCATCCTGCGTAAGCTTGATAATCTTGTGGCCACCCATCGACGCACGCTAACGGCCTCTGTAGAACCCCGGCATCAGTGCCAAGCTCAAGTACTGTCCTACCTTTCAATAAAAGTACTGTGGACCCGGATACAAGTCACCATGATATACCGAGAAGAATGAAACAGACGTAAGTTCATGACTATCTTCTGTTCTCAGTGTATTTATTCCCCCTTCGACAGAGCAAGAAAATCTACCGGTGGGAAAGGGAGAGAACACCGCCCACATGGAGATGCGTAAGAACAGCACTGTATACTAATATGCAAGCGAATGGGATAATAACTCATCTGAAGGCGCGAAGGGCCCAGGCGCGCTATGGAATACGCCACAGATGATAATTTGGCCTTTCTTTGGAGGCGACTTCAAGTTAAAAATAGGAGCCAAGAAGATCGGATCGACGAGAAAGTTTAATTACCGGTTCCTCCACAACCACGAACGTCGCGCCTTCGAAAACAAATTTTTAAGTTCAATCAAACTGTCCACTAACTTTCTGACGTGTGGTCTGTAAGGCCTAAGCAGTTGATCATAACTGAGGGTCCTGTTGCTTCGTATATTCCAGAACATCTCGAATATATGGCGAGAAATATTCAATTTCTTCTGCATATATGTGATTTGATGGTTAGGTATCCTCGACAGGAATCTCCGGGACAATGAAATAGCTTACTCGTAGCCTTTTCCTTCCCTTGCTCCCCGGCTTTCCTCCGCGGATATGTCTCCCAGGCTTCATAGTAGTTTTCTATCCCTTTCGTACTAAGAACGTGTTCATTAACGACCTTGTAGACATTCAAAAGGATCTGTAGGTGACAGATGTGAGGCTCGAAGTTCACTGTGACTTTCTACTGACACATTACGTAGCTCTTTCAGACGCACACAATTCTTAAACAGCTCTCAGCTCTGTATAGCCTATTCAATTTAAAGAGGATCTACTTAATCCGATGTGGCCGCCGCAGTGGTGCGGATAACGCCGAGTTCCTATTGGCGGAGTCCGAACGAACCGGGATCCCGAAATCGTCCTTGACCGGTTACCACGACAATGGATCCTCGCTGGGATCGCGGTGGCGAACATTATTTCCTAGAGTATGTCTTTCTTGCTTCACATTCAATTGGAGGATTTATACATCGTTCTAATAGGCCTCTTTACGAGTACGCTGACATACAGTGCGTCTCTTCGTAAACTTGCTGTGTTTTGCCGCTTACAGCATCTGTCTAGTCAAACGGATCCACGAGTTGTCGCGGTCGATCCTACAGCAACCCCCCCTCGAAATATCGAGCCCTTCAAGCTTCTTTCCACTCTCCCAAACGAACTTTTTCTGCACATCTTTTCGTTTCTTCCCACGAAGGATCTGAGCCATATCGTACGCACGTGTCGCCATTTTTGCGATCTTGCGCAGAAAGAGTTGTACAGAAACCTCATCTTCCGGTCCTTCAACCCTCACGTCATCCTTAACGCCGGAATCTGGTCCAAACCTGCGTGGAATAATGTCCCCCACCGACTCACTGCATCAGCCAATAGTGCTATACTGCTTCCTCAAATTCTCCGACTCGTACCGCGTCTCACCCAGCTACGAGAACTTGTTTTCCAGGGCATCGATTTCATACACACCAACAGCAGTGATCTCTATGCTATATTTGACAGTGTCCCCAACTTGCAGAGACTTTCGTTTATAAAGTCTCACCTACCGCGGTGTCAGACAGCCAGCTTTTCGCATCTGTCGATTACGCAGCTAGACATGCTGTTTATTACGTGGGATCAAGAGCAACCGACACATCCACAGATACCCCATGGGCACCATTTTCTACTAGGGCCGACCCAGCAGGCCCATGTGCATGGACACGCTCACGGAAACATATTCCACAACCCTTTCAACATCCAGAACCCGTTCGCTGCGCTGAATCCACCCCAGCACCACCACCTGCCGAATCACCAGCAGATGATGAACATGATTATCTACGGCGGCCCAGCTCATGGCCCACCCATACCCCCGCTGCCGCCGCCACCGCCACCGCCGCCACAAGGCGACCGCCTCGGTGCGCTCAAACTCCTTGCGGTTCCGACCATCACCATCCTTCGCGTTGACTGGTCGGCCGAGAATATCGCGTATGTGTCGCAACACACCGATTTTCTCACCAGCCAGACCCGCCTGCACACCCTCGAGCTGCGCTGCCTGGACGACTCCCGTGGCCCCCTGCATTTCCAGCAACTCCTCGCCAAGGGCGTACGGCGCCTTGTGTTCATGCCTGATGCGAGGGTGCGGAGTCTCCGTGGCGCGGACTTATCCGGGCTGAGGCTTTATCGTGGCCCTTCTGATATGCTCCCGGTCGTTATGGGCGGACGGGCGGTGCCCACGACGGGTTCGTACATATCCGCAGCATCGTTTTGGGCCCCGCAGACGTACCCGTCTGGTGCGTCGTCGCTTCAGCAGAAAGTGACGCCCGTCGTGTCGGGCATCAGACATGTCATGCTCACGACGACGTTGGATGCGGCGAAGCTTGCGCCGATGCTGGGTATGTTCGCTGGGGCCGAGCAGTTTGAGTCGTTTGAGCTCAAGTTGGCGAGGTGGGATTTGGAGGCTCTGCATGCTGCCGTATATGCGTTCCCGAATGTGAGGGATTTGAGGATCAAGTGGACGGGCGGGGAGGGAATTGACGAAGTATGTCTCTCAGTCTATGGAAGGCAATGATGTGCTGCTGAACCTGCTGTTGTTTGTGATAGATGACCCTCGTTTCGTTCTCGCCTCTGTTCTTGTCAAGGCTGTGTAACCTTCGGATTCTGCACTTGTACGACATGTCCATAAAAGAGTATGTTGTCAGTGATGGGTTCGAGTTGATCGGTCCGGGGAAACGCCTAGCGGGACTCGTGGAGGTCAGATTGCAGTCTGGGGCGGTTTGGAAGAGGGCGGCGAAGGATGAATGGACTTTGAGGAAGGATTTTGTCGAGTAGATGTATCTGTAGAGATCCAAAACCATCTAATGTACATATGTACATATATTTGTATTTATAATGTGCTCTTAATTGATGCAGACACTGTTGGTTAGTATGTAGTCATGGTAAGTAGATAAGTACTATGATAAATCATTTTATACGCGCAACTGGCCTGGCTTTCGTCTTCTATCTTTACAGAAATTCCAAGGACATTGATGTCAGAACAACATGAATTGTACTACTTGCAGAAAGCCAGGACGACAGTTCGAGTTGAAGATGGAAGAAATCCTCAATACCACCGAAATGTCTGACTAGCCAGGCACAGGTACGATATTAATATGGACCACATTTTGCGAGCCAGGATGGAGGTAAGCAAGAAAACAGACATACTCGTTCTTACCCCCATTGAAAAGAAGCGACACAAACATTCTTTAAACAACATTTCAGAGAGTACGATAAGAAATGACGCCAAAAAGGTTATCGGGGGTACGTAACCTTTGCTATTGTTGGGCCGGACTGGGATTAGCCAGGCTGCGCTCGCAAGCAGTGTCGGCAAAAACACAGAAATCGTAACTGATGCCGCGCAGAGATACTAGGCCAGGGTTGCAGACAGCAACGTAGATTGTATCTCTCCATCTCTGATACACTTCTGGTTATCCGGAGCAGACCTTTTGTGATAAAAACGTACCCTTCAAGTTCAATTCATTGTTCAACCAAGGCTGCTTTACGAGGCTGAGCTCAAGAGATCGGCCGGTTCCCCCTGCCAATCCTAACCACGTGACCGTATTATGCTGCGCAGTGGCAACTGTCAGGGAAATTCACACAGAAGAATGCTGCATTCCCCACTTACGCAGTACTTAGCGTCCGATTCCACTATGCTGGTCAGTAAGTTCCATCTTTAAAGTAATTCCACCTATTTATCGTCATCCAACATAATTGCTCACTGGCACCGGTCTAGTTCCCTATCGATACGGTGGCGTCAGTCATGTGGCTCCGAAGGCAGCACATTTCCCAAATCTTGTTCCGCGATGTTCCTGTTCCTTAAAAGCGTTGCTCTGGACTACAGGAACCAGGACTGGAGCCGCCGTTGTAGTCTGGATTTACGGCGGCTCTATTATTGAACGCTGACATCGTGGCCTCTCGCGTGATGAAAATCTGACGGCTGAACTATTTTTAAGTCGTCGCGTGCCGTCAGTATCCGCGCCAATGGTTTGCAGGTGTTCTCGTAAGCAGCCGTTCTCGTACTAGTCTTAGCTTTGAATCGAATCCTCAGTTGCCTTGATTTTCTCAGCATCATAAACGAGTAACGCATGTTCCAAGTCGGCGTTGCTTCCTTCCATCCATTTCTTTCGCGAACCGGGCTCAATTAGCGGTCTCGGCAGGATCATTAACAGTGTCCGTCCTAAAAGATCCCCGTCGAGTACAGAAGGGACGCGGCACGGGAGGTGACGAAAGAGCTTCGAATTCGCAAGTCATTGATATAAATAGGCAATCGAACTACCGAAGGCCTGTGATCCTTATTCTTTTTATTGTCAAATCAGCGAAGGCTCCCCACCGGGTATTAACTATTGTACCCATGGACACCAAGCGTTCCTGTCAGACTCGGTGCCGAGACGGCCCTAAACGATCACTGGGTCACCAGTGGGCGGAAACTTTTGAAGATTACTTTTAATCACGTCTTCAAGACGTAGATTTCTTTTTCTATGTGTTTCACCGGGGTCTTGTTCTCGGTAATCTGTCAGTACTCTCGTGTATTCCTATAATGACAGGTGTCAATACTTACCCCAGGATAGTGCCAACCGTCTTTTGTTTGCATCTGCCATTGAAGAAGAGCAACTAGACCCAGCGGTCGGTACCAGTGCAAGTGCTGCTGGTTTTTCATGATTCCCAAGTTCTAGCCATGCAAACAATGGCTTCCGATGTAACTTAAGGTACGATTTTCCCTAGAACGGCATGCTGGTCAGTCATAGGGTGCTTTCACAATTCATATCACGGCCGCCGGAAGACCACTGATCTTCCGACCCATGACAGCGATCAAAATCTGGCGATCGTGGCGTGCCATCCTCTATAGAAACGACTACTTTCTTCTTTCTCCGGTCGTTCGTGGTATTGGAAAGCATAAAAATGGTACATTCGCTTCACGAACATGTCACCGAGCCAGGGCCAGTTAATTCTAGGTAAGGCACATTAAACCCGACGTTGAGGGATGCGGAGGCGAGATATGCTTCTAAGTCAAATCTTTCCCTTCGGCCCCGTAACGACCCGCCACATCACTGCGAAACGTTAAGCAAGAGCATTTCCTATTAAGGTGATGATTTCTCTTCGCTAAAACCGCGCTTGTTCGGAAACATTGGAATACTTGGTTTCGTAGACTTTTCACGTGAAACCCCGACCCTATGCTACCAGGCCTGAAAATGACCATTCTGGACATCCGAATATTAAGCACCAGTCGAAAACACAAGTGAAAAAGCGCCCTGATTACGCTTAATTGCATCACTCGACAAGTGGCGAGACCGTCTTGTGTGAAGTCACGGAGTCGATATAATAGCCAAGACACGACTGTCGATCACTATATGCACCGCCTGGGACCATTATCTTAGGCGTCTTTGAATCAGAAAGGCGTATGTGCCTCATCAACGGGGAAAAGGAATACATGTTAGACATCGTGACAGGTACATATGGTTCCGAAGAGAACTGTTACTGGCAACGTGGGTCCTTGAAACAAGCGGAGGAACCTTTTAATGCAGCTTAAAAGCGAACGGGACGATCAACTATACTGAGACTGCTGCACCCACACATTGCAATGTATTCTGCCCTTCCGCTTATCCTTGCTGCTTTTGTCCCCCTTACGGCAGGCATTCAGTTGGTCATCGATCCCTCTTGTGGTGCCCTCTTCGAGACTGTCTCTGATATCAACGCTGGTCTTGGATCGTTGAGCTCGTACAGCACTATCGTCGCGTTCGGAGTAAGATTTCGCATATTTCAAGCAAAAGATTAATGTTCACAGAATTCATCTCATAGGACGGATACACTGACGGTGGAATAGAGAACGGTTCGACGCTCGAAGCGGCAGTCCAAGTTCTCCCAGACCCCAAGGCTGGGGGACGTATGTCCAACGGCCCTGTCTGGGTAGAGAACTTGGCTTCCGACATTAACGCGACACTCAAGGATTATGCGGTTAATACCTCGGTCTGTTCTTAGAGATGGTATGTTTTGCTGACTGATTGCAAAAGGTCACCGCAACTGTTGTCGATCATACGCAATACCCCCTGTACACGTTTTCAGATTCGAGAGATTTTGTATATCAAAGTCAGCTTGTTGTATTTCGTTCATGGAGATGGACTTACTGATCCATATCAATGACATCAGACAACTACGTCATCTCCGGGAGCAGTAAGCCTACTGCAAATGATACTTTGTATGTTGTCTTTGTTGGGATGGAGTCAGTCAAATTCCATTTATAACATGAGAGGGTATTATTGAATAACTTGCCGATATTTTTCAGGGACTTTATCCTTGCCGATGGTATGCCTGCGAATTTGTTCCTCTGTTCTTCCTTCGTCTGATGATGTATAGCTACGACTTTCCCCGTCATAGCCAGCGACGTTCTGTATGAGTTACTTTTGATGACGGACTCTCCCTTATTTGCGAAGAACATCCTGGTGGTAGACAACTACGGGCGCGGGAACGTGACTTCCTACGGGAACGAATACAAGCAGAACGTTTTTGACGGCCTAGGCACGCTGTACGAGCGGGGAGTCAACGTTGGCTTCGTCGACCTTGGGAACCTATGGGCTGCGGTACTTGGTACAAACCCCGGCTACGAAGCCTTTGGATATGTGAGCGATGGAGCGTGTACTGTGAATGCCACGACTACAGTCGGGCAATGTGATGACCCCGATGAGACGTTTTACTATATCCCGGAGTGAGTACGGTCCACGCGATGAAAGTACGCAAACGCTGACGTTACATGCCCACAGCTATCCTTCTGCAGTAACTCACCGGCTGATGGCCGATTATGTGGAAGCTGTGCTTGAGCAATGCCAGTGGTCATGAGTTAGGAAGCGTTTAAAGATAATATATGAAGTACTTATGCAATTTTTATCTAATTAATCCGGTTTTTGTCTTCTTTCCGTCTTTCTGAGGCTCAGAGGAGAAGGAAAGAAGGGACGACCGTTTCGGAGATTGTCGGCAAATTGTCGGTTTTGAGTTTAGCAGTAGGAGTAGTATAGCAGGGCACTGCCACCTGTATAAGGCGGCGTTTGCCGCTTCCATGCTTTGTCCCATCAGGAAAACCTCTGCATTTAACAGTAGTTTCACAGGATTCTATTTCTCTATTCCAGGATATCTACTCTAGATGTTTGTTGATAGTGATCCCTGATAGTCAGGCGCAATGTCAAGATGGACAAGAATAAGATACTGGTCATCGCCACTCTCCAAATCATTCGTGCAGTCATTCAATATTCAATCGTCAGTGACAATGTATTTTATGTAATTGACAGAATTATCTCCGTCTTCGGTACCAGACCAAAAATGTATAAGAGAGGAATGTATAAAAGAGAGGGAAAGTCGAGGGAAGCATCCTCAACAAGCTCTGTTCTTTGAGTTCAACATGTTCTCTCGTATCGTCGCTCTTGCTGTCTTGGCTCTGCCCCTCTTCGTCGTCGCAGCTCCCGCGACCAACACGACCGTCACTGGCGGATCGTGCAACACTGGTTCCGCCCAGTGCTGCAAGTCCGTTCAGGACGTGAGTTCCTACCTTGCCTCTTACAACGGCGATGATACTAAATATTGATAAGCCTAGCTCGTCTGTTGTGCAGGAGGCGCTCGGCCTCTTGGACATCCCCATCGGTGACGTTACAGCCGGAGTGTGAGTGTTTGATTCTCTGTGAATATTTTCGAAATTTGAACAATAGATCAAGTGGTCTCACCTGCGACCCCATCACCATCATCGGTCTTGGAACTACCCAATGCGCCAATCAGCCTGTTTGTTGCAAGGACAACAACTACGTGAGTATAATAGAATCGCATATGCCAGTGGCCTTCTCATGACGCGGAAATTTAGAATGGTGTCGTTGCTCTCGGTTGCACTCCCATCAATGTGGGACTTTAAACAGGTCACTGCCTTGGGTTCTCGGAAGATGCTTTGGTAGATTTAAGTTTTTCGTTACAACCGGGAGATCTGTGTTTGTTTAGATGACCTTACATATACGTTATTATTTTCGTGAATGCTTCGCATTTATTGAGATTGAATGAGTTCGACTTGACCGACTGAAGTGGTCAATTAGTCTACCTTAATAATGGACAAAGGGTAGTTCGTAAACACGCGTATGCGATGAATAAAGAACAATGCGGGTGTATCCATATTCTAGGTCTTTGTCTGTTAATATGGACCCTGTTACTGATAATCATAGAATGAAGATCCTAACGGCATGTTTGGAATAAGGTATGACATTCGATCGAATACCCTGTCAAACGTTCGCGGAGCGCAATATCGAGAAATTCCCCTCCGCCTGTTAGCTTGCATGCTTCATGGATGATGAAAAACTCGGTGGTTGGTGTCCCATGATCTTGATGGGAGGGAGGACCAGGTTTAGTAGCACACCTAGGATGATGAAAGGGCGGACCTATCGGACCGTCCGAGTCCATTGAAAGGGGCCCTTACGAGCAGCACGACGAGAGTCGGTGCTTATACTCGAATATTGAATCCCAACAAATGAGTCTAGAGAAAGTAGTATTGGATTCGCAAAACTGAGGCCGGTTCAGTCAGTTGTCTGGGCTCTAATGACGACTCCAGATGTTATCAGGATCTCCGTCAGCATTCAAGCTGTAACAGAACGATGTCAAAGTATTAGAAAGGAATCATGGTTGACGTACTTTACGCGGTGTCACGATTCCAAGGAATTGTAGATCGCAAAATTTTATAAGAAAAAGAAAATACATTCCATGTAGTCAATCACTCACATGTTGTCAGTCAAGCATTTATAATTTTTCTTTACGGTGACTTTCAAACTTGAAGGGGATGGCTATGACCGTCACCGGCAGAGCACTCAACGTTCAACACCGGTTCCGTCCAGTGCTGTAGGACGCGAGTTCCTACATTGTCTCTTCCAACGGCGATGATACTAAATATTAAGTAGCTTAACTCGCCTGCCGTGTAGCAGGTGTTCCTCTTGAACATTCCCATCAGCGATGTTACAGGGGTGTGAGTGTTCTTTCTCTGAGGAATTTTCACAATCTGAATAATATACCAAGCAGCCTCACCTGTGACCACATCACCGTCATCGCTCTTTTACACGGTGTGACAACCAACTCGTTTGGTGCGAGTAGAACAACTACGTGAGTACAGCTTGATTATTAAGTATTGGCAAAAAATGCTCTCCTTCTAAATCGCAGAACGGTCCTGTCGCTCTTGGCTGTACCCCAATAAACGTTGGAGTTTAAGAGTTAACATTTCTTCTTGATTGCGTTGTTAGCAGAGGTTGCGCACTTGAGTTAATTCATTACACACCATTGGTTCCTTGAAGTTTTCGTGATCGACTTCAGGGCGAGAAAATACAGTGAGAAATGGGCTTTGGTGGACCGTAAATATATGATTCACCATGAGTAAGGGACCCTGAATGTGCTTCTGGGAAAATATTGGCAGTTAGTGGTAGTGAGGTACGGAGAGAAATTCTCTGCGTTGAACAAGCAAGAGAATCGGCTCTCGGACCGGAAGTCAGTGGCGGCCCGCCGTTCCGCATTGATTTCAACCCTAACCCTACTCATCCATCATGGCTCTAGTATATCCAGTCAACAATTCTGATTATTCTACCCCATGCTTCATCTTTTGATATCCTGGTTTCTGTGATACGGAGAAACACTTCCAGTTCCGCCAAAATGGGCCTTAAAGCGTGCACAACGACATCGGTTCCGGGAACTTCATCCAAAGGTCGCGCGTGTAATACTCGAGCGGGGGTAGCGACGGCGGGAGTGAGCCTTACTGACAGTGGAGAATATCCTCTTCTCTTGCGACACGGAGGTAAAGCTAAGGGAGAAATAGCCTCTGAGGAAGGTGAGCAGCTTCATATGTGTGTCTCTGCTGTGCTTGACAGCAACAGTGCTGCCGACTCAGGATGGAGGTGGTCAAATGCAGCCCACAGCCATGGCCCGACCAGGCCCTTCGACGACAACCACGGCGAAGAAACACGGCAACAAACGACCTAAAGAGGTGTCATCGGTTATTCAGCTTCGTAGATCGACATCATACAAAATGGGCCGAACAGCGCCTGGCACAGCAACATCGATGGGAGCGTCATCCAATGGTCGCACGCGTAGCACTAGAGCAGGAGTCGTGACCGCGAGGGTGAACCTGACTGGCAGTGGTTGTGGTCGAGAAAGCCCTAATTCCTCCCGAGACGCAGATAAAGCCGAGAAGGAAATATTTCCTGGGTGTTCTGAAGGTGAGCGGCTTCGTATATGCGTCTCTGTTGTACTTGATAGCAACAGGGCCGCGGACTCAGGATGGAGGTGACAGGGTGCAGTCTATAGATTCGGATCGACGTCCAAGCCCTTCAACGAAGACAACGGCGAAGAAACGCGACGGCAAACGATCCAACGGTATGTTCTTGATCTTCACGAGTCGATGTCATGTCAATAGTAGCAGGAAAACCTGCATTTGCAGAAGAATCTTCTGTGTCAACGCCGAAGAAGCGCAGCCGTGGTGGTCCGACGAGCCCAGCAAAGAGACGAAAACTGGATGTACCGATGCGTGAGTCTGCTATTGGCTGTCATATAAATCGCTGGCTTCACTTGCCTCACAGCGGTAAAGCTTGGAGAAGAAGCCAACGCTTTGACGAAAGCAACGTCCCAAGGCGATTCACCGAAAACTCCAAAACGACGCGGCAAATCTTCGAAGGGGAATAAGGGCATGGTGGACTCATCGATACCTGCCTCTCCCGTTATATCGAACTTTTCGTCCTTCCCTTACTTTGATTTTAATAATCGTACAGCGGAATCCTTTTCCATCGGTCTACCTTCTCCTTTCTTGGAAGTTCTTTCAAGGAACACTCCCAGCCTATGGGCTAGTGTACGGCCAATATTCATCTTAGTGCAAGTTTGACGAGACTAATATCTTCTAGAATAAAGCTGACTTGATGATATGGACGTCCAAGACGAATACGATAACTGTTTTCGTTGACCAAGAGAGTGCTATTGGTATTACAATACAGGATGATGGAGAGGTGGAATTATCCATGTTCGTGCCGCATTTTTGGTATCGTCTTGAACAACGAAATCTGATAAAGGATCACAGCGCAAGAAGTCAATCCATAGCAATCGATTCTTTAGATGCTTTGGATGGGTCAACGGCACGCGAAAATACATCAGCTACTGACCTAGTTTACCCATATCCCTATGCTGCAGAGCGGGGGTTCAAAATTCCAGCCATTCCTATATCGAACACACCCTCCTCTTTCAAACCTGATTCTGTAAATACTACTCTTCGTCCTTCGTCAACGGAAGCTGTAGAAATATCGTCATCACCAGGCTCGCCTACCCGCGAACTGCCGCCGGCGTGTCATCCACAGGCTTCCGGTTTAGTCTCCCGACCCAGAGATCTCACTCCTCCATCATTACCAATGTCGTCATCGAATCTCTCTCCATCGAGCTCGGGCAGACCTACGCCCTGTGTATACACACCACCTCCTGTTGCAATAAGAGACGAAACGATGTTCAATTCGCAACAGTCTCACTTCCCATTTGGTAGTGATCAAGCACCTCTCCCGTCGATACCCCCACCTCGGTCAAGGCATTGGGACAGCAAATTGGATACCTACCTGCGAAAGACATTTGCTCAAGTAGCGAGACTTCCTCTGCGTCATAACAGATGCTGGGACAGCAAGTGTGATAATCACCCACCAGAGACGTTCACCCACCGGTCGAGATCACCTCCACCTCATAACAGACGCCGGGATAGCAAATTGGATGATGACCGGCGAGAGACGTGCAGTGGGCGGCCGAGTTACCCTTCACCTGACAAAGACTCTCCACTGCCATCTGTGCAAAGGCATCCACGTTATGAACCTATATCCGACCCTCCACCGGTATCAGTTGTTCCCTTGCGCACTCAGATGGACCCCGAACGACGTTCACCTGGACATAGAAGCCTGCGAGCGTTTTATCCCCCTCCTGTGGTAAATCACCAGGCTCCGGGTACAGAGCGTAGGCCCCAGGTTTCAGCGTCGCGCCCATCCAAGAGCGGATTACCGTCTTTCAAGAAGATTCGCAGCGCCGAAAGTAATACACTTCCTCCGTTAAGTACGAACCGGCCTTCAAGCCCTCTCCTACCGGACCTGTGCACACATAAACCGCGATCTATTCAGGCTTCTGGTATGGCCTCTCCGCTGAATTACGCCGGACCTGTAAATGAACGATCGAATTTTTCAGCCACCGACGATTATGTACAATCATCATCATCATTACCATCAACGTCGGCACGCCGTCACTTCTACATGTACAATCAACCGGATCTTCCACATGGAAGAACGGAATCTTCGTCGAGCGTGTATAGCGAGCGCTTGGGCCTGTATTCGTCTAAGAATGGCACTCTGAGTTCTTACATGGAGAAAAATAGGCCTTTCCAAGGAAGGAAGTCCCTGCGACCTTTTGGTCAAACTGTGATCCCAAGTTCTAACCGTCTTCGTACCTCGTTTTCTACAGCTGCGCCCGCTCCCATCATCAAGAAAGAAGGAGTAGACGGGATGTACCCCTTCGGACCACCACCATACGACGCTCAACCGGCAGTACCCTGCATTTTGAAGAGACCTTCGCCTCTGTCGCAAGCTCCTGTGACTCCACCACTCAACAATCATGTGATGAGACCTCGTCCGTCAAGCCCTGATTCTCTATACGCTCCCTTGTCAAGGACACATGAACAATTACAGGTCGAGCAAACTGGGAGCACTGATCTGACGCGTCACGAGCAGAATATTTCTCATTCTCTTCAGCAAAGTGCGTCGGAACCGAATCCCAGCATTCACGAGCCTCTGGAGACCGTGAGTGCAGAACTACAACAATTAACCAACAATAATGTTACCCGTCGCAAGAAGGGTGGTTTGGGTTCTCTTCGGGCAGATGTGCTCGATGTCGTCGCACCACTTGCAAACGAAACCGAGAAGATCGACATTAATGATCTGCCGGAAGTACAGCAATTTACCGACACCGACTCTCCATTGTTACTGTTCGTGCCGTTGCCAGGATACGGCTACGCATCGCTGGGGTATTTCCGCAACCTAGGCATCGTTTCAGAGACAAGGACAGGTGAAGGCCGGGGAAAGAAAACAATGTGGCGTGTGCGATTGCGGTGGGTCGCGGACGAAGAGTACGGCGAGATCGAGGATGAGACTGTGGCTAGGGGATGCTGGTGGTCGGAGAAGAGAGTTCTCGATGTGCTCGAAGATAAGCTAGTGAGAGATCAGTGTCCCGGTCTTGGCATAGGCATGAGAGCTGCGGAGCGATGGTGGTGTCGGGAGTGTGGTCGGGTTAATCGGGAAGATGGGTGGAGGTGGAGGAAATGTTTGAGTGAGAAGTGCAAGGCATGTAGATGATATTCTTTTATCTCTTTTTCCGCACTGCTTACGGTCATGAGGAACAGGATAAACTACCCGAGTTCCTTGAGCCCTTATCTTTGGATGAGGTTCGGGGCCGTAATGACCGGATGCCGTCGGTGCGGCCGCATGAGATGGCATCTATCCCTGGAATTATGACGACGACATGGGAAGATGGGACGGTGACCTATATGTATCCGCTTTCGTCGTCTCGCTTGCTCAAGCACATATTCACGTGCAACCATCCTCCGCTACAAGAGGATGCAAACAAGCTATGGATAAGATTGCAGGGCAAGGGAGTAGAGTTGACCCGTTGTCGTGGTGGTGCGTCGATCTGTTCTTTTCGGTATTCGAAGCTGTGCTGATGATCTCGACAGGTCCTTATTATACATGCCTGTTTGGGGAGAATAAGGATGACTGGCCAGAGAGCGTTAAAGAAGCTAGTGAAATCATATGTGACTCTGCTGTTGGCTATGGGGAGTTCGCGTCCGGGATGGATATACAACGGGCCGAGGTGCTTGCCTGGTTCATTAAAGGATCAGCAAAGTTCAAGGTAGGCTCTGTTTTCTCAGGTACTTATCATGACCGTTAAGATGCTTCGTTATAGGCTCACGAAACGGGAGCTCTTAGTCAGGTTCTGCGCGCCACCAGGAGTCTAGTAGGTATATTATCTCTGGGGTGCGAGGTGGAGATTGTCTTGCACAAGTGTCATGCGGGGGTGGAGCTCCCTTCTTTGGAAGGCTTGCTGACGTTCAACGTGGAGGATGGAACCCAGCAAGTTATGGAGTCGTCGATCCTCAAACCGACCTCGCCTCGGAAGAAGAAGGTTGTAGACGTGGACGACCTTTCAATTCATATGGTGCACGGAGATGTACTTATTCTGTCTGGGGATGATTTTACATATAGTATAAAGAGATCTGGAAGTGGAATGCGTGAGTATTTATCTTCCTGCATTTGAATGGCAGGCTCACAGATTCGATATAGTTGTTATAGCATCCTCCGGTGTATAATGTGTGACGCAACGGTGTGAGTCTACATTTTTCATTCTTCTGCCGCACTATTCTCATCATTGCTTCCTTCGCGCAGTCACATGATAGACGTTGGCCTTTTGTTGTTGTGTGTATAAAAGATGATGCAGTATGCAATATCGCAGATACTTCACCCACAGAAAGTGTGACGTAGTTGGTCGATCGGCGGCTCGAATGTCAGCTCATCGGTGGCGCATGGTACTGACAGTCACATGAAAGTGTATGCTACAAGTTGTGTGACAAGTTCTTGGTTCTATATGAAGCAATGTAAGTGTCCTATTTCTAATTCAAAGCAATTATAAAGCAAATAATGACTAAAGACGACACCCGATCCTAGGTAATATTACAGCGATAAAACTAGTATTGTATTAGTGTATGAATTGAAGTCGGGTCAAAGCCGCCGGATGTACGAATCGGCCCAACCACGCAGCGTGCTGTCAATGGATATGATCAGCAGCTGTGTATTGTGGGAACAATGCACGTACATATATATTCGGGCTAATCGTGGGCCGCATTAAATTGAGCGCCAGAGGTGCGGGCTGCTCCACGGCTGCAGGGCCAGTGAGCCGCTCATTGGTCCCGCAGTTGAGAGCATGAACATACCGGGCTGTTAGGAGTGCTGACGTCTGCAAGACCAGTTCAGCCGTTGGGTCAATCGAGAAGGGGGAACATACGTACGCGGAACGAGACATTGGTAGCGTATGACCATCTGTCGCCTGTTCTGAACGTACGTGTGGTAGCATATTTCACCGAGTGCCCATGAAGATTGAGGGGCCCACATTCTTTCTTGACGTCCTCTAGGAATAGGCATTTTTTCTCAGCAGAGGTAGGCAGTGGAGAAGTAAAACACGACTCGGAAAATGATGATTTTTCGCTATTCTTCAAGGTGGGCTTAAGTAGTCGTAACACGGCCATGACTCATCCTTCACAGCAGGCTCGAGTCAAGTGGAAAGTTGTTACCGTGTTTCCCTCCCATATTACCCATCGGAAAGTTGAACCGATAGCGGTTTGCTCGGAATGGTCCTCGATCGGAGCGGTATGACGAAGGGTGAACGGCAGTGCCTCAATGAGGCGTCCGTGTTCCGTGCTCAGTAGATGCTGGAATACGAAGTTGGCGCTGGATCACAGCAACCAGTTCTATTCATCGATGCTTTATCACCGGCGGTAAAGAGTATCACTTAGCTCATAACAAACGTGCTTTTTTGACCGACGTAGAACAATAGTCTCTCACCAACATTTTAGTTCTATGAAAGTTCTGCGTGGTGAAAACGCACCGCAACAAAGTTGTCGACATGAAATTGCTGAGGCCCTGCCTATTGCGTCAAGAGAGTATTCTCATCGTGTATATAAGGGTCGACAGAATCATTGTGTGTTGAGGTAGTAGAGAGACGACGCAGTACAGAAAAATGCGGGGCAGAGACAATCCTGGAATTCTAGTGCAAGAACAAAGATTTGAGAGAATAGATTTCCACTGCTTTGATAAAGTAGAGCTTTGGTAAAGTTCTCCATAGGGCAACAATCTAGATTGAGTGTATCTATGTTTGTTGAAATGGGCCATCTATTTAGTAGAACAGGTAACAGAAAAAGCATAAAGGCGGAGCGCGAACAAGCCTGGGGGAAACAATTATGCTCAGTGCTGGTTGGCCCTTGAACAACTCCATGTGAAATTAGTGCATTCTCTTAAGTAATGCAGTCTATCAGGCCTCTTGGAAAAAGAGATGGAAATGATCACGATTCAACATCATGTAAATTTCCCTCCCCCCTCTCTCCCCCTTCTTGGAAAAGGCGCTGTCATGGTCGAACGTTAACTGTCCAAGACTGCTCTTGAAGTCTTCAGCACTTGCTGTCTATCCTGGCTCCTACCTCGTTCATATTTTCTCGCTACCTGCAGCGAATTATACCACTCCATCTCAGTATACCCCACATTCACTGTATACGGCATGGTAGAGGTGTGAAGGGGAAAGGGAGTAAAGGAGCAGACTCAGAGAAGATCAGAACGAGGGGCTTTGGAGGCCGATAGCCTACAGAACATGCTTTGATCACAAAAAATATCCCTGGAAAGGAAAGCTGGTAGATGGGGGGATGGGCTCGCTTGATGATCAGACATTGGAACCCGGCATTCTGGCCCTAAATTTGTCCTTAGCAGAGACTCTATCTCCTCGAACCATATGCCAAGAGACCATTGAACGGGATACCCGTACATACTTTTTTTTCTGATGGTATCTGCCTGTCTGCTGTAGAATTTGCTGTTGCAGGCGGGAAAATCTGGGTCCACATCCTCAGATGCTCTTCATACTAAGGAATATTTATGTCTTTAATCATCCGTCGTTGTACTACACACAGAAAGACTCTACTACCTGGAGGTTTGTCGCCTAGTCTCCGGTGGTTGCCTGCCTGGAAGTTTTAAATCAGTCCTCATTGTAATGGCGGCACGTAGGCTACATATTTATCTATGCTACAGTGTCTAATGCAGGGTCCGTGGAGAGAAGCCAACACGGTGAATATCGGAATATGAACCGTGAAATGAAGATAAACAAAAGAAAAGGTGATCCAGACTGATGCAATATTAAAAGTGGATAAAATTACAATAAGAGTGAGGCGGTCAAAACCCCGGAAGCAAAAGAATCGGCTTAGCGACGCCGTGAGCTATAAGGGGACACGGTGAGTTGCTATTCAGCGTGGGTATGATGCGCGTACGCAGGCAGGTAGTAACCGTACTAAAGCAAGCGCCACAGTTGCGGGCTGCCCCAAGGCTGTGGGACCGATGAGCGGGGCATTAACCCCGCAGTCGGGAGCGCAGACTTACCGGACTATCGGTGGCGCTGGTGTCTGCGGTACCGAGTCAACTATGACTAAGATTTGGTTAAGGATGATATACGTACGAGCGACGAAGCATTGGTATCGCATGAGCACCGGCTGTCCGTTCTGGAGGAATGTGCACCAACAGGTTTCGTTGACTGTCCAAGAAACTTGTGGGGACCATTGTCTTCCGTGATTTGCTAAGTGGCGAGTCATTCTTTAGACGACGAATCGATGAGTGAGTTGCGAGGAGCGAGTTTATAACTTTCATTCCTCAAGGTGAACTTAAGCAGTCTATGCGGGAGGGTACATCCTTCACAGCAGGTCGAGTCAGGCGGAAAGTTGTTACCGCATTGCCCATTCATCTCATCCATCGGAATATCGAGCCAATGGCGGGTTGCTCGGAAATCCCGATATAATATGACGGAGGTACTGGGCAGTCTGGGCTCCCAGTCGGGCGCTTCAAAAAAAATGGCGGTGGATCAGAACGGCCAGCGATGATGAACGATGTTATATCAGCATTCTCTGCTGTTTCCACTGCTGTAACTGTGGAGGCCTAGTGTCGGAGAAACATAGTCGGGGTATATTCTTGTAGTCGAATACCGCACATTGAACAGCAGTAGCCAAGGGAAAGCAGTTCTATCTAATGGACACACGCACGGATTTGTTTGGATAACAGGTAGTTGCCATCGCGACAACGGAATGGATATTACTGCGGAACGAGTCATCGTAAAATTAAAAAAAAACCCTGATAAGTATCTCATCTAAACCCGAAGAAAGAAACTCAATTGACGGCGGCAATGCCAGGAATGCCTATCAGCCATACTAATGATAGGATCTGTATTAGCGCACAAGTCGGTAGCAAGGAATCGGAAAATGAACTCACCCGACTTGCATGTCGGTATACTGGGTGTGGATTATAGGAAGTCCATTGGGAGGTGTCTATTAGATGCCAATAAGCCGAACCCACATAAGGCTGTAGATAAAAAGTTAGTGGTGCATGAGAAACACTGTACGTGGCACACTCACGATGGTCTTATTCGTGCTAACATCTATCGGGGAAACGAGTTGGCTTAGATCAAGACCCCGACGGGAATGGAAACGTACGAGTTGTTAGGCATCTCCATGTATGCATTCTCTTTCTCCTGTCGTATTCATCGATCTCCCAGGTAACACAGCAGGAAGTGGACGCGTCCCACTGCTTTCCAACGGACCACCAATCACTGAAGGCTGGACGTGAAAATGACGTATTCGTGCTCATTTTGATTGATGTGCAAACGGGCGGGTCGGGGTAAAGATATCAAAGCGCGGTAGTTGTCGACAAAGGAATTTATACTGTAGACGAAGCGAAGCTACAGCGGCTGAAACAAAACCAGGTTTGTTATTGTCTTCGGAGGCAAGGTGGCCCCGACTGTGGCACAGCAATGAAAAAGTTCCTTCGCCTTTGCAGTGATGAATGATAGTGGTGGCAAATTTCCCTCCACTATGGCACTCTGTATGTCGACAAGAAAGGAATTGTATTGGACGTAAAAGGTTACTCACTACGCGCTGGGCCTCGCTTTCCACAGCGTGTTAGAGCGAGGAGACCCCAGATGATGCACAATAAGAACCTGCACGAAAATGCATTTCGCGTCGGAATCTGTAATGAACGTTGAGATGAAAGTTACACATTGCAAATTTCCAGCCCCTGCCAATGTTTCGCGAAGTCCAGTACCACGCGTCGCCAGTAAAGCACGAGGTGCCTGAAGGAGATATTCGAGAGCCTCGTGGTCGAAGATACCCTAACCTGACATCCATTCTTAAATTGACGGTAAGGAGCCTTCGACGGCGGGTACCTGCTATACAGGGAGGATATATCGATAAGAGGAAATCATGGTGGTGGTCAGAAGGCAAGGAGGCGTCTAATTTGCAATGGAAGACGAATGCCCACGTGGCTCGCTTGTTTTGCGCCAACCTCTTCGTCGCGTCGAGTCAAAATATCTCAGCTGAATATATGTACATTATAATAAGTAATCGTGCGTTATTTTGTGTGATACATGGCCACCGCACTGACTTGATGCTTGGTTAAAGTTTTAGCAAGGTTGCTCACCGTCCTCTATGAGTCGTCGCTCTTCAGCACTTCAGCTCTTGGACTGTGTTCCAAGTAATAATATCAACCAAAATGTTCATTTAGCCGGATGAACACCTGCACGAAGTCCCTTAAATTTCGGCTTTAGGAAAGTTCGGTCATATCAATGAAGAACACCGGAGAGAAAAGAGGCAAGAATCGCCACTGATGCACTTCCTATCAGGAATTAGGGCGCTGCCGATTTCATAGTAACAAGGCAATAAGGACCACCGGTATGATGAACTGCATATCACCTAATTATCTAGAGGCTGGCTATACGGACGGATGAATCTGGGGAAATCATGTTCGACGAATTTCCTGTCAGAGGGCACTGGTCCAGACTTTAATTCTTGGCCTGTGTGACTAACAGTAAGACCTTCGCGGCATCAAAGAACCAAGGACGATGGTCAGACGTTTATCTTCCACTCGAAAGTCTAGGTAGTCGATAGTACCGCCACGGAAGCTTCTCGTAACCGGACATTTTTCGTTTTCGTGCCCGAGATGATGTATGTTCTCAGCGATCGTACTTTTCAGCATATATTCACGCCGCTTATCAGGACGTGCACTGAGATAGAACCGAGTTTCATCTCTGTTTGCATTAGGAGCGCGTCTTCTCTTGATCCTCGTAGCCTCGGCTCTGATAGACAATCATTTCGCTAAATGCATTGGTTTCTTCGGAGTATACCATGCGCATAGAGCTAATACTCGCGGTTTCTGGATGACATCGGTTTGTCATTCATCATGTGTCGCTCTGCTTCCTCCAATTTCTCAGTATTCCATAAGGATATGACAAGACGAAAGAAACCATAATTTTCTGTGTGAATACCATGCACCGCAAATTATGAGCCTACTACTCAGGAGATGGAGCGCGCGAATGCATTAGGCATACCGCATCTTCCCTCCCCTCTTCCAGATGTACCTTCTGCTACTCTACTGGATAATGCAATCTTATATGCTTCTATAGTAGTTGCATGAACCGAAGATCGATAAGGTCGTTCAGTTTTACCGCTTCTCAGAGAATAATACAAGTAGTGGTGTCGGGGTCAGGCTTAAAGCCTGTGACCCGGCCTGACCCAGCTCGACCCGACCCTGAATGAAAAGCCCGACACTGGTAGCAGGCTTTGGCAGGCTCAAGCTATGGAAAGCCCAAACCTTGTTCATTTATGGTAGCATTGTAATACCAGTCTTGTAGCAGTTGAGTAAAATTTCTTTGTCCTGTTAAAACATCAATACGGTGATTTACAGCAAAACATAGTATAGATATGACTTCTATACCTCATCTCATGCTTATAGACACTAAAAGCCTGACCAACTACCCAGCCCGGCCCGATCTGAGCCCAGCCCGAGGTGGGCTTTGGCGGACTCAAGGCTCGGGCTCACACTTTGTCACTATCTGACCCTTCAAAGCCCAGCCCCAGCCCCAGCCCCAGCCCCAGCCCAAAAGAACCAGCCGAACCAGCCGGACATCACTAAATACAAGTGGAAGTATACTGTCTATTTTGCTGCTAGAAGTAGTCCGCTTCTTTTTTCAGGTCCAGCTTGGGCCGTGGTTTTCACCTCTTACGGACCAGAAAAAGTAAGTCAAGCTTGTGCGATGTCGATAGTCACCTCACGTTTATACATCATACTGGAACATGACGGTGTCTAAAACAGAAAAAACGTTGTTCACTCCATTCCTGACATCCTATTACCTTCAGAAACCCGCAGGTGTGTGGAGCTCTTACGAAGTATGTTTGTTTGGAACAAAGGTGAAAAAGATGACGCCCGCCTTCCATAGATTTTGTAGGAGTTCTTTCTATGTCACCTTCCATGTGTTTTATTTGGATATATTTTGGCTAAGCCTCGATGGATGTGCTTCGAAACCAGAGATCAAGGGGGCCCAGTGTCTTTGATTACTGGACTGGTACTACAGAACAGTTAAAGTTGGATAGGATGGTTATTGAGGCAAAGATAAACCGATATTCCTTGAATCGAAGTCGGAAAGCTACCAGTGCCGCTGCAGTCGAAACTGAAGTCAGGAGGCGTGGGAGTTTTGTCTGTGACAAATCGTGACCACGAGCTTCCAAAGTTGTTGCGTAGTCGCTGCGCTGACACTGTACTCGAACTAGCTATTCCATAGAGCTCAACAAGCCATAGCTATATCGCCTTTCTTTTTTTTTTTTTCGGTATAATCACCTCCCTTTTCCATGACGCAGTGCACTCATCTCTTTTCAGTCACACGAAATCATGACAAAAATCTCTGACTGCCCCTCCAAGAGAACGCACTATTGGCAATGATATCCTCGTACGACCAAGACCTCCACTGTCTCTACTTGGAGAGATCGAGCCTTCATGAGTTGGAGAAACAATTGAAAGAAAAGATGGATGTGTTGGACCAGCAGCATGCCCGCATCTCGGAGGCGTTGCGTGAAAGACGGAGCATTATCAGTCCGATTCAGCGCCTCCCATCCGAGCTGCTTTGCAAAATATTTCTTGCTACTCTCGAGCAAACACACTCCGATACGAACCCTGTCATTCGGAATGTGGCCTCAGTGGGAAATTCGCCGTGGTCTGTGTCGGGTGTCTCAGCCAGGTGGAGAAGTGTAGCTCTGTCCTTCCAGCAATTGTGGTCTTCTGTGAATATTTCTATCACAGATGACAACTTTCGCGACGATACTTATTCTTTATGTCTATGTCTACAATTGAACCGCTCGCAAACATACCCACTATCCATGTCCATCTGCGTTGATAGGACCAAGTCTACCGCAGAGAATCTGCCTATACAGTTGATTACCATCCTATCCTCATCTTCTGCCCGCATCCGAGAGCTTTCTCTTGACCTTCCCGTGATCCTCTTGTCCAAGCTACCCGCCCTGCAACTATCTTTACCATTGCTAGAGATCCTGACTCTCCTTGGCTCGTCGGACGGAGATCTTGTCGGGTATCCTCGTATGCGCCTGTTCTTGTTTACCCCGAACCTCAGATCTGTCGAAATGATCGATATCAAGAACCCTCAGCAGAACTTCGACTTCCCTTGGAATTTGTTAAAGCAGTGTAAGAGCGAGCACTCTCGTGGGCGTTATTGGGCCAATGTCTCTCAGCCACATCATCATTTAAATCTTCTCAGGGAGCTCAAAGAGGTCGAGGAGTGCGTTCTACGCATAGGTCGTGCTTCCGCAGACATTGAATTTCGCCAAAACTTCCCTCTCGTTTGTTCTCGAGTCCGAGTCCTGGAACTTTCATCATGGATTTCCGACTATGATGTATTTAATTTTGTGTCGATTTTCCAACAAGTCCTCAATAGACTTACACTACCTGTACTTTTTCCACTCTGAAGGTTTGTTCTTGGCAGGATAGCCAGGCGGCGGGCACTTTTGCATCGACATGTCGTCTCATTCATCGTTCACAACCGTCAATCACCGTACTGCAATTCGATTATGGTGTCGTTCTCACTGCGGACCTTTTGAACCTCTTTCGCTCTACACCCACCCTCGAAGACGTTCGCATTACGAGCAGCGACGTGTTTACTCCGGAAGTCTTGGAGGAACTCACAGTGGACCATACATCTTCGAAGGACGTGATTTTACCGCGTCTGCGCCATCTCTTTATTGGAGGTAGAAGCTTTACAGGGACAGAGCTCATGGGGATGGTTTGGTCTCGTTGGAATATCGGCCAATCTCACCGAGTTGAACGTCTACAAACTCTGAAATTGTACTTCCGTGAAAGATGGTACGCTGAGGCCATCGAAAGCTTCATGTTAGAAGAATTTGAGGGGTGTGTTATGGAAGGATTCTCTTTTGGAATCTGTTGCGTATTGCCATGATAGCCTCCTATACTAGCCTATGGAACATTAGAATATCTGCAGACTATTAGAATATTCTTCTACTATCACGTCAAACCGTCTGGATTATGGCATGCGGCGGAATTGTTCTCTTGTTATAATCGGAAGGTCATCGCTTGATACGTGCAACTGAATGTGCGTATAATGTTCGGTGATCCGGAACGCTTGTCTATGGTATGGTTGCCGCAACGCCAGCATGACCAAAGCACTTTATGCTGGAACCACTGTTCATAAACACCGGCATGTTTTTTATATCAATGTTTCAGGTGTAGAAACTGTACAGTACAAATATAGTTAAATACTATATGTTTTCTTTCTCATGTTTGCATCAGTCTTTCAGCCTGAAATTTTGTCATGAACTACCTAAAGAAGTACATAATATCATTCATACCATGATTACTTGCTGGTGCTTTGTCATATATGATATTTGGTATTTCATACCAGTTTTTCTGATGGTGTCTTTGTTCCCACAATATCTCAGAAAACACATGGTCTGTTTCTTTTGGTGTTTATGATAGTAAACATCCAGTCTTTCCATGATTATATGAGTGTTTTCTGTTGTAAACATCTTAAAGAAACATCCATCAGCTCATGTGGAGTGTGTGATAGGATGTGAAGAATAGTCCCTTTCTAGTCAGAATGAGTCACAAGAATAAGATGACTCCAAATGACTATAGTTAGCTCATAAGAATAGTATATAAGTAGCTACTTTGCAGAGAAATGATATCTGCTTTTGTTGCAGGACAACACAAGTACCTGATGTCAATCTTATATAAGCATAGACAGTTTTGTCCTGAGTCAATGGTCAACTGCCTTTAAGCAATTGACTGTTGTACTCAGGTGAGTAGTAGTCATATGTACCTCTGCCTTTAAGCAATTGACCATTGTACTCAGCCTGGCCATTATTCACTGCATGAAAATAACTTGCCTGCAGCAGGTTATGAGCCCTGTGTTTTAAGGCCTATTTTGAGTTTTTTTTTCATCTTTGCATCTTGCTTGTGCCCTGCTATCTCTCCATCAGTCACTTCACTACTGAAACAATATCACCACATACATCATGCCATCCTTTGACATAATCAAAAAAGGCTTCAACAACCTAAATGCCTCTAATTATGGTGAGTGGAAAGAAAACATGTCAGCCCTACTCAAAACTCACTGTGAGTATCTTATCACCATGATCCTGAACCAGAGTTTGCAGACCCTAAGAAGCCAACATACCAGAAGAAGAAGAACTGGAAGAACTGGAAGGAGACTCAGGTATCAGCTGCTGGCATGATCTACCTCTGCCTTGATGAATTCCAGAAGGCTCATGTCAAGAGCTGCCTTGACAATCCAGAGAGGATGTGGGACACATTAAAGGCACACTATCAGCAAAGAAAACCAGCAACTTGATTTGTAGCCTATGACAGCTTCTTCAATCTCAAGAGGGAGACAGAAGAGTCACTTCCAGACCTTGCCAGTCAGAGCACTCAAATCATAAGTCATATCCATGCTCTGCACCTTGTTCATTTTGGTCTCCTGCAGTTAGAAGAAGAGCTTCTCATTATAACCCTGATTTGTGCACACTCTCAGCCTGAATTTGGAAACTTTGTCACATCACTATTCCTTCTCTCCAATAAGCTCACTCTTGAAGGACTCTGCACTGCATTTCACAATGAAGAAAACAATCAAAAGCTGTGTGCCAGTGACCTAGCAGTCTCTGTTGCTCTTAAAGCCACACCTTTCCATTCAGCCACAAATCCAGCTATCAATGCCACTGCAAAATGTGGATGGTGCCTTTGTGAGAATCATGCAGAGGAAGAGTGTATAACTAAGAAGCTCTCACTTAAACAGGACTGTAAATGTGCTGCTGACCATACTGCTGAAAAGCATCATCACAAGGGGGCTGAAAAGAAGGATTTGGGAGCTGCTAACTCTGCCAAGACAAAGGAGGAGACTGCTAGCCAAGCAAGTACTGATTTATCATCACCTGCCATATCTTATTAGAATACTGATACAGATGCTTCTCATCATATAACCCCTCACTGACAATGGTTCTGACTCTATGCTCCATATGTTGTTCCCATTTGTCTTGCAGACAATTCAGTCATCTATTCAGCAGGGATTGGATCAGTAGTACTGGAGCCAGAGATTCTGAGGGAGAAAGGCTCAGTGGTGGGACTTCTTGACACACTATATGTATCAGCATTGAAAAGTAATCTCTTATCACTCTATCATCTCACACAGGAAAAGAGATTTAAGATCTCAATCACTGGGTCAGATGTCACTTTCAGCCAGGGTGAAAAGATTCAATTTACTGCAACTGTAAATGAGAGCAATATCAGCTATGTCAATGCTACCACATATTTATTCTCAAAATCAGCCACTATTATTGCAAACTCAAGCTCCACAAGTACCTGCTGAATGGACAATACACTTTGGCATAGATATTGCTGTCATCAAAACATGGACACTATATAGCACATGCACATAAAGCAGCTAGTAACTGGAATGAAGTGAGAGTCAGGTCTCCTAACTGATCCTATCTGCACACCATATCTCACTGGCAAACAGCATTGCCACAATGTTTCTCATGGCCCCTCAGAGTAGAAGAAACATCTTCTTAAGTGAGTATACAGTGATATCAAAGGTCCAATGCCTGTCACAACTCCAGAGAGCTATTGCTACTAGACAACATTCATCTGCAGTGCATCTGACACTTGGGCCATCACATCTCTGAAGTATAAAAGTGATGTCTTTAATGCCTTCAAGCAATTCAAAGCATATGCAGAGAATACCCATCCAGAACTCAAAATCATTGAGTTTCAGAAAGACAAAGATGGTGAATATATGGGAAAGAAGTTTATCAACTTCTGTGCTGAGCATAGGATCAAAAGGTGACACACTGAACCTGATGAACTATACCAGAATAGTACAGCAGAATGAGCCAACTGCATGATTGCAGAGGCCATCACTGCCATGCTAAATGAGTCATATCTCCCACCATCATTTTGGAATCTTGCTCTTCAAGTATTCATCTATATCCAAAATTGCATTTCCACAGATCCTCTTTCAAACACCACACCCTTCACAGAATGGGACCCAAATCATTGAAAACCAGATATATTCCACTTTCATATGTTTGGATGCCTTGCATATGTGCTAATATGAAGAAAAAGATGTCAAGCATTAGAGTCACATACTCAAAAATGTATCTTTGTTGGGTATCCAGAGGGAGTAAAAGGCTGGCTATTCTGGAACTCTTCTATGCAGTGCTTCATCACCTCCAGCCATGCTATATTTGATAAGAGTGTATTTCCTGGAAACTACAGAAATATTATAAATCTTCTTGGTGATGATACACCTCCCACAAACAGACATAACAGCACAGATACTGCTATATCTGATGCAATGATGTCTTATTAAGAGAGAGAGGACATACTTACTGATAAGCTATCTCTGCCATCTGAGCAACTCTCATCATCACCATTCTTGCCATATAAGTCAGCTCCATCCACTCTACCAGATATGCAAACATCTCCAGAATCATCTCTTACTCCACTATTAAGTCTTTTGACATCTCCTACATTCTCTTCACCACTCTCATGTTTTCAGGCATGCTTTGAGCCACAATATGACTCCAAAGGCCTTATAATTCTATCTCTAAACACTGGATGTGGTTTTTGCCATAAACATTCTGGCACCAATGTGATGAACTTACCAGACTCAGATGAACCTGTTTTTGATCCCATTAATGAAACCACTGCTGAGCCAGAGCTTACTGAGACAGACATTGTCACAGGAATGACTTTTGTATTGCATGATGATGACTATATCACATATACAGAAGCTCTTAAGCTTGCATTTCAGATAGCAGTGAAGATGGCAAACTAAGCATCTATATCCAATGATGAGCCAAAGACACTTACAGAGGTGATGACTTAGCCAGGAGAGGAAAGTGAAAAATGGTATGAGACAGCTCAGCAGAAATTGAATGCACTGCAGGAAAGTGACACCTTTGAGCTTGTGAAGCTCTTTTCAGAGTGAAAGGCTATAGATGGAAAATAGATCTTCAAAGTGAAGCATAATCTTGATGGATCCTTTGAATGCTACAAGGCATGCTATGTTGCAAAAGGGTACTCACAGTGGCCAGGTTTTGACTACACTGAAATCTTCTCTTCTACTTCAAAATAGGCAGCCATCCAAACAGTCTTCACTCTTACTGCACCTGAGGATCTGAAGCTCTGAAGTGTGGACATCTCATCAGTGTTTCTGAATGGTAATCTGAAAGAGAAGGTATACCTTCAACAACCAGAGGGATTTGAGACAAAGAACAAGAGCTGGATGCTTCATCTCTTCAAGTCCATCTATAGACTGAAGCAGACTGGACATGAATGGCACAAAAAGCTCCACAGCACTATGACCAAGATGGGCTTTGACAGAGTATGCTGTGAACACAGCATATGAGTGTACAAGAGAGATGATGCTCAGATTATCATCCCTGTGTTTGTTGATGATGTAACAATTGCTGCAAAGTCCATAGAGTCTGCATAATATGTTGTTGATGACCTCAAGAAGCACTTCAAACTTCACAATCTGGGTCAAACTTCATTCCTCCTTGGTGTCAAAATACACAGAGACCATCTAAACTGAACACTCACACTCTCTCAACTACAGTACATCCAAAAAATCCTAAAACATACTGGAATGTCTGACTGTAACAGTATTAGTACTTCTCTTGATCCACACACTAAGCTATCTAGCTCAATGGCCTCTGCTACTCCAGATGAATGGAAAACCATGTGACACATCCCATATCTCCAGATCCTTGGCTCTGTAGCATACTTGGCTATTGCCACTCATTCTGACATAGCTTTTACAGTCAGCATCCTATCATGGTTCAGTAAAAACCCTGGATTGAGATATTGAAAGGCCCTGAAATGCCTCCTCAGATACATAAGAGGGACAATTGACCTAAAATTGACATATTCATCTGACAATAC